AATCACTGTATTCTCTATTAATCACTGTATTCTCTATTAATCACTGTATTCTCTATTAATCACTGTATTCTCTATTAATCACTGTATTCTCTATTGATCACTGCACATCTTGCTAAGCCTTTTCTCTTATTAGTTTAAAAAGAGCTAGATTAATGTCTAATTAGCTTATAAAAGTTTCTACTACTTTTTTTTTAAATCTTTTAAATTTTTTAAACAAATAAAGATATTTTACTTAGTTTATTAACATACTTTACAGGCAAGTTGCTTACACACCTAAGTTGCTTACTTTTGCTAAGACCTTACTACACTACTTTTTTTACACTAATGCATTCCTAACAACACTACTTAGATGTGTTAAAGGAATATTAGATACAGCTTACACTTTAGGCTTTTAAATAAAATATAATACTTTCTAAGCAACACACTGCAGCTATTTATAAAGTCTTTTAAAAAATAATAAGTAACTAACACACTAGATAACCTTTCTAAGCTAATTATATAGCTAACTTATAAAAGCTTAATAATAATAAAAAGTAAGTAATTATTTAGCATATACTTAAGCTAAATGCGTAAGGATTTCCTCTCTAGCTAGTAGCTATAGCTAATATAGCTAATTTTTTACACACTAAGTATAATATAGGCTATATTAGTATAAACTAGCTTAATATATTTATTAAGTGTTACTTAAAGCGTAAAGTAAAGTTTAAGTGTAAGTATAACTATAAAAAGCTTTTTATAAAAATTTTATAGTAATTTAAAGCTAGTTTAACTTTATAAAAAATATTAAAGCTAAGTATAGTATTTAAAATAATAACATATATAACTATAATAAGATAAAGTTTATAATAAGCTAGATATCTACTAGAGTAGTTATTACAGGTTTAGAGAGATAAGAACAGCTAAAAGCAGTCTAGCTAAGTAACTAGAAGTAGACAACAGCTATCTAGAGCATTAATGCTAAAAAGTAAGCTATTTTACTTTTTGTCGCGTAAGAGAGCACATGGTCCTAGTGTTGCACCTGTGTTTTAGATAAGCAGCCTAAGACACTTGGCGCTAGAGCTCCCACTACATAGGCAGGCTCCCTATAAGCCTCTTATAGTTAATAGACTTGCTTCTTATTGCTCTCTGATTAGCAGTTGCAACACTTTTTATTATTTTTTAGGGTAGCAACTACTTTTTAAACTAGTATAAAAAAATCTACTTTAAAATTAAGCTATTATAATCTTTAAGCATAGCTAGACTACTAATTAGCTTAGTTTAGACTAGTTAAAGCACTTTAACATGCATATAAAGAAGTATATTATTAGCAGCTACTATTTACTAGTTATTAATAGCTATAAAAGCTATAACTTACTTTATTTTTAGTAATACTATAAAAATAATAAAATTATTACTATTTATATACTTTTTTACTTATTACACTTTTTATAGCTATTTAATATAGGTTGTTTTACTTTTTTAAAAAAAGTATATAAGCGCTAAGCTAAAAACTTTATGTGTAACTAGATTACTTATATTATAAAAATAAAGTTTTTACTATGCTTTAAAGTAGCTTATAATACTATAATTACTTTTAGTAATATTTAAGAAAAGTTTTAAAGCGCTAAATTAGTTTTTTTTAACTTATAATAAGTTATAATAGGCCTTAATATAAAGTTGTGCACTTTATTACTACTACTACTTATATATAATAAGCCTTAGTAGTTATAAACTTTAAGTAATACTTTAAAACTTAAGTTATAATTAATGCTTATAAAGATAAAAATTTAAAAGCATATAAATAGTTTACTAACTTTTATAGTTAAAGTGTTTAAAAAAGTTTTAAAAAAGGCAGTAATAATTATATATAAGCTAGTGTTAGTGTAATAGAAAATTACTAAGCTTTAAGTAGCTAATAAAGCTACTATATAACATAAATTACATAAAAAAAAGTAAATTAAAGTAAAAAAAACTTTAATAATTTAAAAAAGCTTACACTTAATAGCTTTAAAAAAGTTTAGGGCGCATAGTAATAAAAAAAAGGTAAAGAAGTAGGTGTAAGCTAAAGTAGGTAAGCTATCCTAAAGATGCTGCAGATAGTGCAATTAGACTAGGCATAACGCGCAAATGTGTAAGTAAGAAGCAGAAGTAGTATCTAAATAATATTCTAGGCTATACTATACTATATAGTGCTAGAGTGGTTTGTTATAGGCTATAATAGAGTTTGTTAGGGTAGGGTCTTAGCAAAAGTAAGCAACTCAGGTGTGTAAGCAACTCGCCTGTGAAGTACGTTACTATATATTAGATGTTTTAATGTAATATTATAACGCTATGTTCTGTTATTAGTAGGCTAGAGTTTACCTCTTTATTACTATTTATAGTTTTAAGGTGTTGCTAAGCTAGAATTAGTGTGTGAGTGTAAGGACAGAGCTTTGTACCACTGCGCTAATACAACTAAAAAGGTGTAGATAATTAACTAATAGTTAATCTTGCGTACAGAATAGTATATATACCTGTCGCACGTAAGTGCCATCTTAGCCTTACATTATCCCTCTTCTTAGCAGACGCATGTTCTAGGCGTTACATAACCTACACGTAGCTTAGAGTCGCCATGCTCATGACTTAGTTACTGGCCAGAGGCTACCCACCTGCAGCCTAGAGGCGCAGGATAAATAACAACACTTAGTGGCCTACGCTAGCTAAGCTATATACACTAGACCTTTTAGCAGCAACAACGTAGCGCTAGAAGAGGCTTGTTTGCAGTAGTCACACGATAGTCGGGTGCGTTGTCATCATGATTGGATGCGTTGGATGCGTTGTCACCATAGTTGTATGCATCTCACCATAAGTCTGTTGCCAAGACTCACCTACTTATTTCGCATATATATAGACTCCTATAAAGGACTTCTCTAGCAATACATTTAATGCAGTTTCTTATGCCTCTAGTGCCTTACATCGATTTATAAATAATTCTTAATTCTAGTTATTAATTTACTATTAGATTTGTATATTTAATGCCTTAATATTATTATGCAACAGTAATATAACTTAAGCAGCAGTAGACAAGTTAAATGCTGCCTTAGGTTAACACACTAACGCAATATAGGCACCTTGTGCACGCTGTTTAATGTACTTCTGCATAGCGTCTTCTGTGCTTAGGTCTACTATATAAAGGTTCTTAGCTTATTTTTTCTAAGTTAATAAAATTATTGTTTTATCTTATATAAGCTAGATCTTTTTAACTAAATTTTATAAGCTATTTATATAAAAATATTATCTTAGAAATAATGCTTACAGTAAATAATACAGCTCTGCTATACACATAAGCTGTAGACACTACCTTTGAAGACAGCGCCTACTATGTAGTAGTCTTTAAAGAGTAAGGCTCTAGTATTACTGCTATAACACTGCGCGCATGTAGGCAATGCAACAGCCTTATAACTCTACATAAAAAGGGTGCAGAAGTAACCTTTACACTATATAATCTTTATAATAAAAGGCTATAGGTTAGTGTTAATAGCTATAAGAGCTATAACATTATATAATAGCATTACTACTACTAATAGCTTATTAGCCTATGTATAAGTTAACACTCTATATAAAACAAAAATAAAAATAAGTAAAATAAGTATATAAATACATAAGTTATGCATAAACTAGCGCCCCTACACTATGCCTATAGGCAACACAACCTGCTACTGCCTGCTTATAATAGTAATTTTAAAGTTGCTTATAAAAGTGTTATTATTACTAGCAATAAAAGCTGTTTTATTATACTATAAAAAGTTAGTACACTATATAGAAAAAAATAACACTTTAATACTATATAATAAAAAAAGGAAAAAAACTATTTAGTTTATATATAACGTACTTCATAGGCGAGTTGCTTACACACCTGAGTCGCTTACTTTTGCCAAGACCCCACCCTAACAAACTCTATTATAGCCCATAACAACCTGCTCTAGCACTATATAGTACAGTACAGCCTAGAATATTATTTAGATACTACTTCTGCTTCTTGCTTACACGTTTGCGCGTTATGCCTAGTCTAATTACACTATCTACAGCGCCTTTAGGATAGCTTACCTACTTTAGCTTACACCTACTTCTTTGCCTTCTTTCTGTTACTACGCGCTTTAAACTTTTTTAAAGCTGTTAAGTGTAGGCTTTTCTAAATTATTAAGGTTTTTTTTACTTTAATCTGCTTTTTTTTTATGTAATTTATGTTATATAGCAGCCTTATTAGCTACTTAAAGCTTAGTAATTTTCTGTTGCGCTAACACTAGCTTATATGTAATTATTACTGCCTTTTTTAAAACTTTTTTAAACACTTTAACTATAAAAGTTAGTAAACTATTTATATACTTTTAAATTCTTATCTTTATAAGTATTAATTATAACTTAAGTTTTAGAGTATTACTTAGAGTTTATAACTACTAAAGCTTGTTATATATAAGTAGTAGTAGTAATAAAGTGCGTAACTTTACATTAAAGCCTATTATAACTTATTATAAGTTAAAAAGAACTAATCTAGCACTTTAAAACTTTTCTTAGATATTACTAGAAGTAATTATAGCATTATAAGCTACTTTAAAGCATAGCAGGAACTTTATTTTTATAATATAAGTAATTTAGTTATATATAAGGTTTTTAGCTTAGCGCTTATATACTTTTTTTAAAAAAGTAAAACAACCTACATTAAGTAGCTATAAAAAGTGTAATAAGTAAAAAAGTATATAAATAGTAATAATTTTATTATTTTTATAGTATTACTAAAAATAAAGTAAGTTATAGCTTTTATAGCTATTAATAACTAGTAAATAGTAGCTGCTAATAGTACACTTCTTTATATACACATTAAAGTGCTTTAACTAGTCTAAACTAAGCTAATTAGTAGTCTAGCTACGCTTAGAGATTATAATAACTTAATTTTAAAGTAGATTTTTCTTTTTATACTAGTTTAAAAAGTAGTTACTACTTTAAAAAATAATAAAAAGCAGAATAGCTTACCCTTTAGCATTAATGCCTTAGATAGCTGTTGTCTACTTCTAGTTACCTAGCTAGACTGCTTTTAGCTGTCCTTATCTCTCTAAACTTATAACAACTGCTCTAGTAGATATTTAGCCTATTATAAACTCTATTTTATTAAAGTTGTATATGTTATTATTTTAGATACTATACTTAGCTTTAATATTTTTTATAAAGTTAAACTAGCTTTAAATTACTATAAGATTTTTATAAAAAGCTTTTTTATAATTATACTTATACTTAAACTTTACTTTAAGCTTTAAGTAACACTTAATAAATATATTAAGCTAGTTTATACTAATATAGCTTATATTACACTTAGTGTGTAAAAAATTAGCTATATTAGCTATAGCTACTAGCTAGAGAGAAAATCCTTACACATTTAGCTTAAGTATGTGCTAAATAATTACTTACTTTTTATTATTATCTAGCTTTTATAAGTTAGCTATATAATTAGCTTAGAAAAGTTATTTAGTGTGTTAGTTACTTATTATCTTTTAAAAGACTTTATAAATAGCTGCAGTGTGTTAGTTAAAAAGTGTTATATTTTATTTAAAAGCCTAAAGTATAAGCTGCATCTAACATTTTTTTAACACATTTAAGTAGTGTTATTAGAAATACATTAGTGTAAAAAAAGTAGTGTAGTAAGGTCTTAGTAAAAGTAAGCAACTTAGGTGTGTAAGTAACTTGCCTATAAAGTACGTTATAAGCTTTTTTTTAATAACTTTAACACTTTTAGTAGCTATAGTAAAAGCACTCTATGTAATAAACACTTTTAAGCCTAAATAACACCTAATCTTTACACAATAAACGCCTACAGGAGCCTGTATAAAGGCATACCACCCTATATAATTATAAGAAAGGGTTAGAGAGAGTTGTAGAACACTATTATAAAAAGTATAAAAAAAGAAAAGAGAGAAAAAGAGCTTAGAATAAGTAAGTAACTTAAAAATAAAAAGTTGCTAGTGTTTGTACACAGTACACGCACAACTCTAACCTGCATAACTGTATAATTAATATTACGTAACCTAGCTATGTAGTGACTGTATAGTGCCTGTGCAGAGCCTTAGCAGGAGAGATCCTGCTGCATAATCTCTTCTACCTGAACTCTAGATAGAGAACAAGAATAAACAACTAGTAACCCCCCCCCCCTCTATATCTATAGACTGTACAAAAGTGCACTTACAGAATCATACGCAAGGCCCGCTCACCCCGCGCCTAGCTGTACAAGGAAGTCCATTCAACACTAGGCTAGTTTATGCTAACATAGCCTAGATTACACTTAGCGCGCAAATAATTAGCTATATTAGCTACAGTTACTAGCTAAGAGGAAAATCCTTACGCATATAGCTTAAGTATATGCTTAATAATTATCTAGCCTTTATAAGTTAGCTGTAGAATTAGCTTATAAAAGTTATTTAGTATGTTAGTTATTTATTATTATTTAAAAGACTTTATACGTAGCTATAGCGTATTACTTTAAAAGTGGTATGTCTTATTTAAAAGCCTAAAGTGTAAGCTATATTTAATGTTTTTTTTAGCACGTCTAAGTAGTGTTCTTAGGAATGTCTTAGCGTAGAAAAAGTAGTTTAGTAGGGTCTTAGCAAAAGTAAGCAACTTAGGTGTGTAAGCAACTCGCCTATAGTGTATGTTAATAATAAAAAGTAAGTAATTATAAAGTATATACTTAAGCTTAATATGTAAGTATTTCTCTTTTAACTAGTATCTATAGCTAATATAGCTAATTTTTTACACGCTAAGCATAATCTAGGCTATATTAGCATAAACTAGCCTAGTATGTTTATTAAGTGTTATTTAAAGCTTAAAGTAAAGTTAAGTGTAAGTATAACTATAAAAACGCTTTTTATAAAAATGTTATCGTAATCTAAAGCTAAGTAGAGCATCTAGGATAATAACATGTACAACTTTAATAAGATAGAGTTTATAATAGGCTAGATATCTACCAGAGCAGTTACATGAACCGCATCGGACCCCCATCTTCGACGCTCTACCTCGCTAATGACGACGGGGCGAATGAACGACCGCTATTCGCAAAACCAGAAACGACTCCATTTGGCCGATCAAGGACTATTTCGCCATCTTCGGTGCCGACAGAGAGTGGATTACCTTTACCGCAGCACGCAGCGGAGACGGCAACCCAGACATATTCCGCGTCCGCGCTGGGTTGGCTTACCTTAACCCTTAGTCGCGACCTCATCCTATACGCTAGTAGGTGTACTCTCCCCCGATAACAGCAAGTTAGCTTACGTCTCCTCTGCCGACAGCTTCAAATCCAACGTCTGGATCAAAGACCTAGCGAGGCAGTATCTCGCCAAGGTTAGTATTCCACGACGCAACGCTGTGTAGGTCTTTGGTTGCTCAAGGTGTCCTTCTGCAAGCTTGCCGACAGTATCAGTGAAGGAGTTTGAGTTACATGTGTTGCCTTCGCAGTCCCCGGGCAGCACGCGCCTTAGGTTAGCTTAGAGAAGCGTCGGAGTGGGGCAAGTCGTGCGGAGGGCTTTCTATGTTTGTAACGGAATGGAATTAAGAGAAAGAAAGAGAGAAAGGATCTCAATCACAAAGGAGGGAAGGTTTAGTGTGGTTGGTAGCTAAATTTGAATTGAGAGAGACCTACTGCGTTAGGATGCAAGCGCAGTGATGGCGATGAAAAGAGCAGCGCTGATGCAAGCGAATACTGCCCTCTACTACTACTGTAGACGATAAAGCTTTCACAGTTCGTCGGCGCTCTCATCTAACTATGAATAATATCGCTGCCCTCCCTTCTACCTCCGTAACCTCTTCATTCTACCTCTACAAAACTTCACTATTCAAGATAACACTATAGTGGTCGGCGTTATGAGGCATCCAATTCTCAATACCTCTGGAGAGGACGTACCCCTGAGGGTGTTAATCATGAGTGAAAGCGACTCATTATACTTTTAGAGTTTCTCTACCACCTTCGAGTATTGGCTCTCTATGCCCGTCTATTTGAACGGCGTCCTTAGCGAATATTTCTGTCCATTGGACACGAATAACGGTGTGACAACCGCTCCCAGCTTAGAGAAAGACGAGAATATGCCGTCGAAAAGTTGGTCAAAAGAATCTGCAATGACGAAAGTGCGGTTCATACCTCGTTGGCCTCGCATTGACGACTTATGGTGCTTCTTTCGCAGAGGAGACCACAAGTTCAAGGAGCTCGGCAACCTTTGCAGCAGCTGCGATGGTGCCGACAATGGATGCTATTACGCCGAATTGATCAGCCATCTCCTTAGCTTAACTTGAGCGATCCTTAGGCCGTAGGACCCTACACCAAGGTGCCAAAGTGCATCTAAAAATATGGAGAGGGATGGACAGTGGACAGTAACGACTCCACGCTCAATTGCATCGATGTATTGATATTAGAGTGAAAAGAATATTATTTGGAACTATGAATGGAAGAGTGGCGGGCTATATATGTGGATGTTCCGCTGTGAAGAGGGCGTTCCACTTATTTCAGTTCTAGCATTTGTGTGACAATTCTCCTGCCGACAAGAAAGATGCTGTTAGCTGCAATGACAGAAACACACGTAGCAACTACAAGCCCTTCGACGCCCACCTAAGCACCTAAATTTGATATTCCTGCGATCAGATCTTGCCTCGTGGAACTGACCTAGTTCGGTGTAAGTCGTTGTCGCATCCACGCCTGGCATGCGTTCAATTTTGTCTCTGGATGGTACCGTGGACAAGTCAAACTCCAAGCTAGGTTACCACTTATGTTGTACTGTAGCGCTTCGATGTATCTTCTCAAGTCCAGGCAGACTGACTCGTCCTTCTTGTACTGCTCAACGATACGCTTGTAGTCTTGAACCAATTCGACGATCTTCGAGTGACAAATTTGCTTGGCTTCTTCTTCACTGACGGAGTGCTGGCCCATGATGACCCAGACAGCATTGACTACATGTGGCATGTTGTCCCGTTTCGCTGCATCACGTTCTCTCTCCCAGGAAAATAAATCGTTCGTCAGGGCAATAACTGCGAAGGCTGATCGTGTGGCTTCAGTGCTCCGTTCTATGTCATTCTCTGGAATTGTCAAGCCCATTCCAAAAGTGACGAGGCCGAACATTAGCCTTTCGTGGCGTCAGCGAGTGAAAAAAAAAAAAAAACATATTGAAATACAACCTATCAAGGAAAAATGAGACTAACATTTGTCCAACATCCCATACCCTATAGGGAATGTACTCATCCAGAGTGTCGAATTTAACGCTGCGATCTCGGCTTGATGTGAGTTGCAAAAACTCGGCCCATGCTTTCATGGTGACCAAAGCCCGAGGTCGATCAATAGCGACCATTTCATTGAAAATCTGGGCTTGGATCTTGTTTTTACCACTTCCCTGAGGGTTTATATAACCCGTTGTGGCGCCCTGGAGAAACAATTCGAGGGTTTCGTTCATTGACTCGCTAGCCTAAATTGTGTCAAAGAGGTCTTAGTTTTAATTATTTCATAGAGCTAGCCTTACTTTATCATGAGCAATATTTTCGGTGGCGTCTTTGGCACGTCGATGGTCAGACAATCATGTACTAAAGGTAATAAAGCCTGCTTACCGTCATAAATAAACGCGAATTCATTTGCATATGAAATTATCTCAAGGCGCTCTGGGAGACACTCTGGTATGGATACCGACACGAAGGACAATTCCGGATCGAGACCACCGTTGAACTCTCCAATAGGAGCAACGAGGACATTCCAATCTTCTTGGGCGCGAATGGATCCAACGTATTCCGCCTCAGAAAATATGTTTTTTCGAACGGGGATGTCGGCGATGAGTCCTTTCGAATCATACCGCGAAGGGCTGACAGGGTTGGAGAACCGGTATTCCATTGATGAATGTGAGCACTTGGATAATTTTTGAATTGAATGCTTGAACTAGACGTTGACAGTGGCAAGCTATTTATCAAAGCCGTTTAATATATAGATAACCTGCACTGGTCTTGCAGTAATACCTGAGCCAAGTACGACTGGCCAATGCCTTTGTCGGCGCACAACTCCGTTCTGGCAAGTAATTGAAGCAAATGAGGATCCGCAGGGGGTCGGTGTGTATCCTGGCTCTTTTCTGCCATCCCAAATGCTTTGAGAAATTCTCCAGTGATACCATGCCTTATCTTGCGTGTAATACGATGCGATGCTGGAGCCTGGAATCGAAGGATCTGATCACTTCGGCCTCCATCCCCGAAGGATCTCGAAGGATTCAATCCCTACGAGTTCCAAACTCGAAGGATCTGATCCCTACGACCTCTAAAACCTTGCGCCGTGGAGCAATCTAGGCATCCCATCCTTCAAAGTTGCCGATGATTCCGCAGGTAATTGGGCCTTCAATAATAATCGCTGTGCCCACTACACGAAGGAGCTCTGAGGATTCACGTACAGCGTCACGGCAAGTCCTGGGGGCATGGAGTGGTTTGATCCTGATAAGAGATAATGCCGCGTGTAGCAGAGGGATCGGGAAAGTGGGCTATTTCAGTAGGGACACTGTCAACTCGATCAACATTTGTGTTGCCTGTTGCATCTCCATTCGTAGGCCGAAGCGGTCCCGCCCCTGCTGCCGGGCCGGGCCGTTAGGATTCGGTTTTTAGTAAACTTGCAGAGTGCCGCGACGGGGTTCGGTGCTGCTGGAGCAACGATTTGTGCCAGTGCTTGGCACTAGCCTTGGGATATGGCACGAGTCCCCGCCGTGCGATAATCTTTAACTCTTGCAAGCAAATTAGCCCTGAACTCACATAGAAGCAAACATACACAATTCCGGTTTAGTTTGATTCAAAGAACCCCGCTCTATACACCATACTACCTTACCGGACATAACACTTAAATCATGCATCGACTTTTGAAATCTTCCAACCCGACACTACCTTCTTCTGGAACATACTAGACGGATCATATTTGGCCGCGACCTTACGGATGAAGTTGATATTGTACTGTCCGTAGCTCTTCAGCGGATTCTGCGTCTCGTCGACGTAATTCAAATACTGCCAATTGACGGTGAGGCCCTTGGATTCGGCAAACTTCTCAAGCGTGGCCGAAAAGGCCGTCAACTTCTCCCGCATGATCATCTGTTGCTCAGGAGTCTCCGTGGCGCCGGTGATCAGCCATAAAAGCGCATTCTCCTTGACCTTATCGAGACCTAGCATATTGCCTCCACGCTGAACCGAATGTTCGGCGAAGAGAGTCGGGATGGGCTGGAAAAGGCACTGAGTCGTGAAGTTGCCGGCCGGTATTAGGCCCTTGAGTTCGCTGACTAGCTTATCGTGCATTTCACCCGCCCTCTTAATGACCCTGACATCGTTCTTAAAGGTGAGTGAGAACCAGACTTGCCTGGTCCCATTAGTCAAGTAATTTGCGGTATACGGGCAAGGGTGGAGATGAGCAGCAAACCTACTGTTGGTCGCTCGGAAGCAGGTAACTGTTAGCCATGTTCGCCATGGTCCTCGTCTTGACGTCGTCCACGACCACCGGTACCTTCAGGATCTTATCGAATGCCGATGCGTTGACTATGCCGTTAGTATCGACAACGACATAGGCGACGAGAATGTCCGACGAGGACCCAGGGTTAAAGGTGTAGTTAATGATGTACGCATCCTCCGGGTTCTTGTGATTGTCGTTCGTAAAGTCGACCATCGTCTGCGCTAGCTCATCCCCCTTGCTCCTGGCCGCGGCTCGGATACCACCCCAGAGGTTCTTCGCTGGAAACGTATACATGTCGAAACGGGTCACGATGCCAAAGTTCCCCGAGCCGCCCTTTAGAGCGGTCCAGAGATCCGAGTGCGAGGTGGCATTCGCATTGACAATATCACCATTGGCGAGGACGACCTCGAAGTTAGCGACGTTATCGCAAGCCAAACCGTAGAGGCCCGCATAGTACGAGTTCCCACCGCCTGTCAGGAAGCCTCCTATGCCCACATTACCATCACGACCGCCGGTGACACAAACATGATACTTCAGAAGCTCCTGGTAGACATCGCCCCATCGCGGGCCGGGTTGGATTGAGGCGAGTTTGGAGTGAGTATCATAAGTCACATCAGTCATCCGGCCCAGATCGATCGTGACCCCCTTGTGGACATCATTAGACCCCGCCCACTGAGTATGGCCACCGCTACGGAGGGCGACAGGGCCGTTGGCCTTGGCGAGAACCTTGACGACACGAGACACCTCCTCCGTGGAGCGTGGCTGGACGATGCAATCAGGGTGCAGCGGGACGTTGGCAGCCCAATAAGAAGCTTCGCGGTCTACGTAGGCGTCAGACTGGGGCAGGAGGACCAGGTCCTGCAACCCCGCAGCCGTGAGTTGATTACACTGGGTCAATTCATCAGTGTCCATGATTATTGCTGAGGGATGAGATTGGAGGATGAGACTGAGTGATGAGATTGAGGGGAGTGGTAGGAAAAGAAAGTGACGGACGCCGTTGAAGGATTGACTCGTCGCCGATGCCGTCGCCACCCACGTATTTGTGCATAGCAATAACGGCGAGAGCAATGCGCCTGCAGGAAGGTGGTTATACAAGTACATGATGAGACATTGAATTCGGCCTGGCTGCGGTGTGACCGTGTGAGTCCAGGGAGGTTCACTCAAACGATTGCACGAACCCCCCTAGCTTTATTAAATCCAATCGACCTGCACCATCCCTGCGCGTCTTCTACTCTCCGACCCGCCGTCTCTCAAATCATGTCACCGGAGCTATGACCTCTAATGGAGACTATCTCACGTCAGCCACCCGGCCGTCATGATAAGTGCTGTGTACGAAGCATGGCCATTGGGTAGAGGCACCCCGAGCACTGACATAAGAGCATGGTCCATGTAAGCTGTGAAGAAGGCTGCTTATTCCTGTCGAGGATATTTCCCGGAAGGGATTCCAGGTTGCAGGTTCTGCATGAGCCAAATCCTTCTCAACCCCTCTTCCTTGGCAATGGATAAATCCCACACCCCCTCTTAGCCAGCTTTACCAAATGGCTCCTTGTGGATAAGAGGCGAAGTATTATTTGTTTGTAATACAAATTGCCCGTAATTAAATATAGCTATCACTTACATACATATGGCTAGTTACTCGACACCTTTGACCACCTACAAATAATCTACCCCTTCTGCCGTCACCGATCCTATCGATCGTGTAATTGCGACAATATTTAGATAAAAACTGAAAGCTGGGCGATAATTAGGTGGACAACAAGATGGACGACAATTAGTTGGATAATAGCGTGTTAAAGGTTGGTGTGGACACATCCGGAGATTGCTGTCGAAGTTGTATCGCCCGATAGATATCGTAAGCAGCGATAACATTTAAATTCTAGCGAGTTTGTATTGCAAACTAATGACCCTGTCGCTTATTATCTACTAGTAGTCATTTGGCTTAGTAGACTTTGAGGGGGGCGACTTATCTCCTGCCTTTAAGAGATATTTTGGCCCAATTAAAGGTCAGCCATATCTCGTACGCCGGGACACAGACCATCTGTTCTTCGGTATCGCATGGATCATAACTTCGGATCGTCAGAGTCCTGACCGTGAACCCTGTACGCGAGTCCGCTAACTGCGGGAGCACACGGGAACGGAACGGTCAGTCAGCAGGGGTGCACTACAGAAAGTAGTAGGAGATCTGCGGCACCGATTTGTACCTTGCTGCTGGGCCAGACCCACTTGCAAGAGAAAGTTAAAGCCATTTCTCGCATGATCTGATCTATCTTTCCCCAGATTCTTCCCTAGGTTTCTCGCGTTCTCAACACTACGGTCATCGCCAGCTTCAATATGGCATTGCCTGTCACCAACGGCGTCGTCACCCTTCTCCCTCCACCTAAGGGCTACAATGTTGACTTTGACAACCCCCAGAGGAACGGAGACATCACCTGTTACTGGCTCACGGGTGTGGGCAGTGTTCTGGCTCTCCTCTTTCTAGGCCAGCGATTATATGTGAAGGCGATTGTGCGCAAACACTTGTCATTTGACGACGGTGTGTTTTCAGCCTACCCTCGGGTGGATGTATTCACGTCAAGTTGCTGACTTTAAGAACCAGGCCTCCTTATCGTAGCATGGGTGAGTCCAAACCCTTCTTACGACCCATCAGAGCCATTTGACTCTTCCTAACACTGCCCCGTGCAGCTATTTTCCAATGCAATTCAAGCCTTGATTGTCCGTAAGTGCTTTCCCCTCTTCTGAGTTAAACGTATATTCGCTGAGCAAGCTTGTAGGAGCTTTCGTTTATCAATACATTGGCGTCCATGCATGGGAGATACCCTTCACTAAATTTCAGGAAAATTATTTTGTACGTCCGGTTAGACCCGGTCACTTTTACAGTGTGCTGATATCCACGCCAGTACGCCGTGTATATACACAGCATTGTCTACGCCCCACCGACTGCTCTCACGAAACTGGTCCTCCTACTCTTCTATATCCAGCTACAGAACCAGGCGAAATGGTTCCGATGGGCCACGTATACGACCATGTTCATCAACGTCGGCGCAAGTACTGGCATCTTCTTTTCCTCCATCTTTGCCTGCCGTCCAATTGCAATGGGTTGGGACCTGACTATTACGGACGGTAAATGTATCAACCGCCCGGCATTGTACGAAGCCACGGCGGCCTTTGGGGTAATTGTCGATTGCCTAATCATTAGTATTCCAATCCCTATGGTCCTCCGTCTTCAGATGTCAAGGAGCAAGAAAGCTGGGCTGATCCTGATGTTTGTGCTCGGTTCAATGTACGTACTCACGCTTTCCCCCTCTAGCGGAAACAAGAGCTCCACGGGATTGCTCGGGCGTTTTGATATCTTAGTGGTCTCATACGCCTAGATGCTAACACGACTAACCCTTGTCTAGAACCGTCATCACCTCGTTCGTTCGCCTCGTGTTGCTCGTCACGGAGATCAAACAAATCGACTCCACGTGGGTCGCTGGCCCAATCAATTATTGGGTGTAAGTATCCTTGATTTCTCCGCGTTAAGAAGATCCACTTACACTTCCTCCAGTACTATCGAGGCAAACCTTCTTATTATATGCGCCTCACTGCCAACCATCCGCCAATTCGTGCGGACCGTCGCACCCAGACTCCTCAGCAGCACATCGAACTCAAATTACTACAAAGGCTCGGGTTCAGCCGGGAACATGCCCACCATCGGTGGCATCAGTTCTCGCGGCAAGAACACAAGGAAGCGTGGCCCCTACGATTCCGACGTCATGATGGAGACGCTGGTGGATGGCGGCAGTTGGACCCATACGCACGAGGTAGAGGAAGGGAACCCGCGTAGCAGTGCTAGTGGGGATAGCAAGACAGCGATTTTGGATGACAGGGGTATTACGAAGACGCAGACAGCGGAGGTTACATACACTGTGGACAGAACAGGGGCTAGGGAGGCTAGTAGGGAAAGGAGTTTCTTCTAAATTACTGCAATTATAGCCCCTTTCATTGACCACCGCAATATCTGCTTCTCATCGTTTCTCACCTTGTATCGAAGTGTTTTCGTTGTGTTCGCCTTTTTATTTTGGGCTAATGCCAGGAGATGACTCGCAACATACCAGTCATACTCTGAGTACTACAGAAAGCCAAGGCCTCACGTGATCGCCCATCATTGGGGATTGCAGTACGCCTGCGGGAAATCAGCAGTCCCGGTGGGTGGGCTGCTCGTAGGTCGGGACGCTGACGGGATTCTTCACCGGCTCAAACATCGGCCGCGGATGGACACACGTACCAGCCTTTTCGGAAGACTCTTCCTCCAACACTGTCATGCTTCCTTCCTTCTCCAGGAGTTTTTCATATTACAGCCGTTTTTCTTTCCGCACATTACGAGCGGGCGGAAGAACGACCGAGACCGTCCTTGCTCGGAGCGAAATTGGTACACAGAAAGGTTCTTAGTGGTCGAGTCACTCTAGCCTGAGCTTTGTGTCCTTCTTTGGTTTACATTTCGTCGGAACTTCTTCGAGCTTTCTACAGCTACTATGGCATCTTTAACGTACTCAATATTCGCTCACACGTGGGAAGCACGCAACCAATACGCCTTGGAGACATGTCCTATCAGCATGTCATTTTGGGGCTCTGTCCTCTCGCTCACCGCAAATGCGCTCTTCCTCGCGTTCTTTGCACCCTCAATTATTCTGTCCCTAGGCCAAGGAGTACTAAGGGAGAGATTCCTGTGGTTCACCCTCACCATGGTGTCTAGATGTGCGCTATCCATCAGCTCCATAACTGGTATCGCAGGGGGGCATATAGAGGTGCAAGCAGTCAATTAGGCGGTGAGAGCCAAACTAGGTCGGTTGGGCTAAGGTGTAAGGTCTCTGGCGCTGGACAGAGCGGGCTCATAGGTGATTATATAATGGATAAAAACATGCCAGACCTAAACAGAAAACAAATAGAACGTAGAGTCACGTGGATTTGCATCACGTGCGACACTTATACCCATCTTTGACTCACCTCTGAAATGCTTTAGACGGGTCATACTTCGCCTGTAACTGTTTCAAAAAGGCCACGCTCTCTTTGCTATAATGATTTATAATATTCTGGTCCCAGCTGGCGTCGTTCAAGAATTGATGCTCGCGATAGCCGCCTGATTTCTTCGCAGGCTTCTCAATCAAAACACCAAAGATTAGAAGGCGCAACATGATAATAATTTCCGTAGCACAGACGGCAAAATTTCTCAAGAGTTCTACAATAGTCCACCCATGGAGGTGAGGCTTAGGCTTTATTCACCGGCGTACGAAACCGCGTGGATTCGAATTCTACTTCTACAACACCGTCTTGGGGGAATCTAATCATTCCATACTTGATGCCTCTAGTGTCGCCAGTCGTAAAGGGACTACTAATTCCCCAAATAATGGCTCTGCATGTCTATGTGACAACGTTCTGAGTCATCCAAAGTCATGTTGCCGAGGAAAGCTCCATGGCATCTGTTACAGTCTGAGGCAACATGTTTTTATGACCAAATTACACGAGGCACTCTAAATAAAAGGAGGACTCGAAGGAAAGGGTGAGGAGTATTGAACGCGGCGTAGCCTAGGCCCTGAGCTGTTGGGTGAAAAACTGTGCCGCAATCATCTGAGCTCGGTGCGGTGCATGACTGATTAACCGTATCCAGGTATCCATACAGTATCAGCCGTAAATCACACGGATTATACGCCCCATTTTATGGGACAGGAGGCACAGTAGAACGCGTACACCTAGCTGCCACTCATCCTTCAGAATTCCAAGTACTTTCAAAATATGTCAATGTTTTAGTGGAGTGTCCATAGCAGGGATATTCTTGTGACCCGCTGCAACTTGTCTATGATCCTTACCGGTGCCAACGGCTAATAGGCAGCTTTACCAATAAGCACCGACCTGTTGTATCTACATTATTGATACATTGCGTCGCGAATCCTTTGTAGCATGCATGTGAGCCGTTTCCAGCTAATTAGCGCAATTGCCCTGTCAGCGTCTTTCCAAGCAGCTCTACTATTTATTCACATTGGCATCTGGTCGCTCGAAAAGGGCAAATCTACACTTCTTCACCGCGGACATGCCAATGGGAACAGTCATCATTACAGGCGCAAATAGCTCATTGGGCATCCCAGCCGTTGGCTATCTTCTTTCAAACTACTCCACAAGCACTGTCGTTCTTACAGTAAGAGACGACTCCGAGCAGGATACCAACACGGCGAAGCTTAGAGCAATCATTGCTCGGTCTCCGGCTAACGCAAATATATCTATCCGCAAACTCGACCTCGCTTCACTTGCCGCAGTCCAAAAATTCACGGATGAGATTCAATCCGAGATTGCTAGAGGGCAAATCTTGCCGCTCGTAGCCGTTATCTGGAATGCTATGAGCTGGACTCTACATGGCGGCCTCAACTTCACTCCGGATGGCTACGAGCGCTCTATAGCTATCAACCACATTGCCCACTTCGCTATGTCTCTGCGACTCTTAGGATCCTTCGACCCTGAACAAGGTCGCATCGTTTTCTTATCCAGCGACAGTCATGAGAAGTCCGCTTTACAACAATTCCCTTCTACCCTGCCCGATGACCCAGATCTCCTTGTACACCCACCACCTGATAAAGGAGAAGAGATCATTGGTCGTGGATTTCAACGCTACGGTCTTTCCAAACTCGTTATAATAATGACAATGTATGAACTCAATAGAAGACTCAAGCAGGGAAGGAGAGAAACAGTCCAGAGATTTGTGGAAACTGGCTAACACGCACACACAGAGCAACGATTTGAAGGGATTGTTCGCGCTGGCTGTAGACCCTGGGGGCCTTCTGGACTCCCGGGCATTCAGTGGCCCGGATGTACCCCGCATGTGGTCCACCCAAGTGTATATTGCGAATTTGTTACAGCCTCTTCTCAAGCTGCTTAATCCCGCTTTTCGCCGATCCGCAGATGCGGCAAGGGATGTCATTGACCTTGCAGTTGGTCCACAGTATGCAGGCAAGGATGGATATTTTATTATGAGGAAGAAGGCGGACAGCTCTGATGCGAGCAAAAACAGTGTGTCCAACCGTTAGTACACCTAATAGTACAGTACTGCAGTACACTGATTTTGGTCACGTACGTACGTACAGGGCATCTACTCAGTATACTGTACTATACATGAGGCTGCTGTACTAACCGTTTACGGTAGTTATATAGGATTTTTGGTGGTTTTGGGCGGTTGAAGGCAGGTTGCTGAGGGCCAGGGGGCTCGTGTTCGGAGATTAATGCGGAGAATGCCGTTATTGCCTGTTTTGTTAGCAATCTTCTAACAAATTCAGCAACTATGCCATCTACGTTATTCTTTTGCCCATTATAATGTCCCAATTCCTATCCCAATCAACGACGCGGTCAACAATAAAGGCTCTTTAACTGCAGAAGAATTAGTTACGTAACAACGCTGTTACTAGTAAGCTGACTAAGCTTACAGAGTACATTAAAACAGTAAGATCAACAACAGTAGATCTCACAAGGGGTATCACAACTTCCTAATTAGGTATAGTCTTTAGCTTCAGCGCAATTACTTCATAATACTTCAATATACTTCAGTTACTGTATCCTAACCGTACACTGACGTCATCTCCTCCGTACAGTTAGTTAGTAACAGCCTCCTCTTCCGTAACTGTACTATACAGCCTCCAAAAGGCTCCGTAACTAACGGTTGGACACACTGAGCAAAAATGAGGATATGCAGGGGATCTTGTGGAAAAAAAGCTTGGAATGGGCTGGAATCAACCAGAAAGACACGGCTTTGCCTCTTTAGACCAAATTGGCACTTAATTGTTCTGTCACGCTTTTATCCTACTCCTTTCCTCTTCCCTGGACTGAGAAGGCTCTATACAAGGCGCTGGGTAAGATCTGCATGCGAGCGAAGGTTACGTGCCTACAGAGAAAGTGCTGTGATTAGACGGAATTGGCCAGGTTTCGCTGCATAGATGAAATATGGTTATGCCTCGCACAGGCTTCCCAACGTAGTAATGACTTCTTCTCATAGGCGGCACAGTATATGCAGGCAGTTACCGCACTGGGCTCCCCAAAGACCAAAATCTCGTCAGACCCGGACTTCCACTAGGGTGAGACGACATATATTATATATAAGATTTTTACCTTTTCGAAGATATGAAGCAAATAATGTCAAACGCTGCCGCCCGTATGGTCTCGAAAGATAGTCTCGTAGCTACAACCTCTCTGGCAGCTTTCTCGACTTGATACCTGCGATTTATGACTACCCTGTTACCCAGCGAGTTAGTATATCTGGCTTGAAATTATGAAGTACACATTTGGTAGTAAGCCGCTTATATAATTCCAGTCTGCAGTCTTTTACTTACGATAAATCACAACCTCTTGGGCATAGCTGAAAGCGGTCTCTGCTTCTTAGTACTTCCCAATTGGGTTTGTATGGTGCCCATACATGCTCCCCTCTGTGCCTGAAAGTAAGTACCGCAACCATACTAAGAAAAAATTGCCTGTCACCAGGCGGTACATCGCACACTCGCCATTCACAGACGTACGAATCTCGTGAACTTTTCCCCTCGCAACCTGAATATCCCAGTCATCTACACACACTTGCCAGTCCTGTTACAATGATCTCCTCGATTCTGAAATTGATAAATTTGCCGCCCAAACAGCAACACTACTGCTTCGTTCTGGGCGGTGCTCAGTCTCCTCGTTCGTGTCTGGTTTTCTATGCAACTTTTTACTGCCAACCTAGCCCTTTGCCCCTTGGATCTATGTCTCACTACGCAATACTTCTATACTTTGCTCTAACAGTCACATTATCCTTTGTCGAAGCGGTACCCACAATAGCCCAATTCATACTTGCCCCTATCAGTCGGCTGGCCTGGCTTTACTGGATGGATCTCTATACAAACTCAGGCAGGAATGGCTCAGAAGATTGACCTCTTTTCTGTGGTCTACCTTTCTTTCTTATGCTTTTTGGACGATCTATTACGACACTTGCTGCTAACTACAATATAGATATTACAGGAGACAAGACATCCAGTGTTGCTTCCTCGGCACAATTTCTAGGAACAAAGCTGACCAAACTATTTGTACTCGATCGGAAACTAGATTCTTTCCTACTTTTTGCACTAGCTGCGGATAAATCCTATTGTTCTCTCTTTCTGAGGGCCTTGGGGGTTGGGATATGGGCGCTTAGTGTTCCGTTTTAGTTCAACAGTATTAACCCATATGTCCCTAAATCAGGAAGAAAGATTTTCCAATTCGGCATTATGCTTGGGTCGTACGTAACAGTGATTATACTAGCAGATATTCAAATGCGTTGAAACTGGTATCCTTTGAAGACTCGAGAGATCTCTGTAGGCTTTTAATTCGGTACGGTGTTGCGGAGAATATAGAATAGTGATTATTTATACAATGTATCAACGGGCCTTGTTGTTGCGTCGCTCAATCAAGGGAAGTAGATATGCGATGATTCTACAAGCTGTCGAACTAGGTCTACGAAAAATGCTTTATATTAGATGCTCTATATAGGCTCTATCCTATCACAGGTATTACTTTAGATAACTGACGGATGATAGAGGGTATGGAGTTGCGAGGGGTCAGTTAGGTGGTGAGAACCAAACTAGGTTGATTGAGCTATTGAGTAAGGTCTCATCTTAGGAACTTAAAAGGGCTACGAGGTAACTACATGGTGGATGAAATAGAGCTACTTGTGAATACAAAACTGGTGTAAGTTATAGACCTACATTCACGCAAACTTATAGTAACGGAAGCCAAAGTCGCGTGAAATTCTTCCCCCGAAGCTTTAACAATGTAGATACTAAAGCAAAGTCGCACAGACTAGTGAAATAGCCGCACCTGAATGCTGGAATCCACGTTTATGGGCTGTGAGGTGGATCCCGCTCAAAGTCTTTGGTGCTCGGATCCTTGGAGCGGCTAAGATTTGGGGTCAGAGATCAGACCCCCACGGCAGGGGCAGGCGGATTATGAAAGGGCCGTATAAAATCATGTCATAAGACATTTCGCGGACTACCTCTTTCCTCTCTGCTCACCCTAACGAATAAAAGGAAAGACATGTAGGAACCCGCCAACGTCGTGAAACCCCGTAGTGAATCGAATGGTTTCATCGTCTCTCTCACAATGTCCCTCTCAGCGCCGCCGTTGAGGTGTAGATGGGTATACAGGACAATCAAAACTTATGTGTCCAAAGTTTTTGCCTAAATGTTTCAGAAAGCACAGATTATTAGTTCCCTTGCCCTGTAGGTAGAAAGACAGCATCACAGACTCGTCTTCCATTCTTGGGTACTTACATCGGTAACACTGTGTCTTTGGACAGCTGGAGGAGGAGTGCCCGGTTTGCTTGCAATTATTGCAGGTAGGTCCCGAGCGGTACTGGGAAGAACTGGCAGCTTGCAGCAAACGAATAGGTGACACGTTGGAACTTGATGCAGAGGGGGGAGGTGAAAACGCAGCGGCCTGCGGCAGAGAAGCGGTTGCCCCATTAGGACGTCGTGGAGGCGTAGAGGGTGGTGATTGTGGGTAGACGGATGACGGAGCCGGCGCCGTTCTTCTTTGAGAAATTCCAGGGCGAGCCGCGTAATTTGTCTGATGAGGGCTTCTATTGATCGTAAGTAAGTTCAATCTGTTTGAGATCGCAAGGTCTTCCTCCGGAGCCCGTCTCCGTGTGCTGGCGGCATGCTGTGTCAAAGCCCACTCAAAGTGACAAGCAGCAAGTCTGAACGCCCGACTGAGCTCGTCCCTGTCAATATCGTAGACATCTCTGCCCTTGTACGTATAAGCGCCGTTAAGGATGTGCACAAATTTCAGGAAACTGAGTCGCAAGTTGTAGTGGAATCCAGATTGACTCATGAATGGTCCAAGAGGGCGAAGGCTTTTGTTTAAACAGGTAGATGTGAACAGACCTTTCCCTCCTTTCTCGACTTGAAAGGATGCTCCAACTGCGCGGAGAGAGCGCAGGAACTCATCACATCTCTTCTCCACGTTCCGTCTGAGATATCGCACATCTCGGTCCTCTCGCTGGCGCAGCTGCGTAAACCCTTTGTCCTGAAGACGGTCACCCCCATGGTCTTCAAAGTTGATAATTTTGACGAGGAGCAGCAGGCAATTGGGCAAAAGGACATTGTAACGCTTCTCCAAAATCAGGTCGTAGAGCTCGTCGTTCGTCATGTCATCATATGCACCGGATTTTAAAGAGTTTAATATCCTCGTTATTAATTCCATATACAGATGGAATCTCTCACGTTGGAAGTCGTGCTTGGTCCACCTTGGCTGTTTCTGCTTATCTTAAGGACAAGAGCAATGTTAGCGGTCATTCTCCACAGCTTATAAGAGGGAAGAAAGTCAAGAATAAACCCTTACCTTCAATGTCTATCTGGACTATGGCAGCACAGTTTTCGCGCACGCCGGTCATCCAGGAGCTCTCTTTCCAGGTACCATTGACTCGACGGAATGCTTGTGTTGTCTCAATAATGAAGAGGCTCCGCAATGCGCTTTTGTCCTCGAGGTAGTTGAGAGCATAGCTAGGATGGAATCCGTTCACACAGGTGTAGCGTTCACCTTGGACAGTGACTTGAAAATCGCGAGTTCGTCCAATTCCGATGCACTGGAAGTCCTTATACTTGGTGGAATACGGGCTGCGATAACAGCAGAACACAACATCCGGCTGCTTCTGTTGGATCATACGAAGGAACACGGCATACGCTTCGTCGCGTTCTTCCTCATATTCATCCAGACTTTTACTCAAAGGGATCTTGTGAAAAGGGAACGCGTCGAAGCAGCTTATCTTCTCCAAGCCATACCCAGTAACCTTTTGGCAGACCTCGTCAACAGCTTCCAAAGTATTGCAGTCCTTCACTGTTTGACGGTGATCTAAGAAATAGCGCTGGTGCTCCGCCGGCTGCTGAAGGACAATCACGACACCACCTTTCGTGTCCGGCATGGCGAGCCATTTTGCAAACTCAACCTCATTATCAGAAATATTTGCTCGATATTTTTGAAGACGGTGGCCATAACTCTCAACTTCTCGAGCATGGTTTCCAGGACCAGCGAAGGGATCCCGAGTTGTAAGTCCGGTGCCGAAAAGAGGTTCGAGCCGATGATCAATTGGAATACCCAAACACAAATCCGGCAATTCAACATCCGCCATAATCCCTATGTTAATACCTGTGACAGACTGGAAGTGGCATTCGGACGAATGCTCCCTTTCCCAGGCGCCGACATGGTGCAATATATGTACGGATTCGTAGCCGCTGGGGCTTCGACAAAAGGAGGTTGACGGGACAGACGGCTGCAGGCACAGCAAAATGTAGGCTGCCGAGTTTGTCCAAAGCGTCAGCCTGGCCAACAGAGGGCTGGCAATGATCGACTGTGATTGGCGATCATAATTATTCAGCATAGAGCGACATGCCCGGATCCAATAATTACTGTTGCTAAGCGAACCCAGAAGAACAACTCTTGTACGAGGTGCTGTCCAATTAACCCAGAACTTGGCATCCCAAAAAACTCTCCAGCGCGTGGTCCACCTAGCATGCGACATCCAGTCTCTAATACACTACCTGTCCCATAACTGATGCCCGCGCGAGGCTACAGAATGGCAACCCCATCTGGGTGACAGCCTGGCCATGGGTTGTATTCCTGGTTGATGCGGTCCCACAACGAAAACCCTATGGCTGGCGACACTCCCTAGGTTGTATACACTGTGACCTGGTTGGAGGCTGCCAGGCTGGCGGCAGACGGCAGTGGCCTTCATCCATTATCTCCAGTGCAGCGATGTGTTCCACCTCTTCCCAGCAGATCCATCCCACTATGCACTTGTCGTGAGTCATTTTGTTCGACATTGTGGCGAAAACACGGATTGGCGATGTTCGAACTAGACATTAGAGCAAAAGGGAGTGAGAATAATCGTCGCATCAAAATGGTATATGTTATCCAGCTTTGCGAGGGATCATATGGCAACCCCACCAAAGTAAGGTGGCCGAAGGAGGGTGATTTAGATCGCGCTGAAGGAAACAGGACAAAATGCGAAACGATGAGAAAGAAATGGGAACGGGGAAGGACGGAGATATTGTGCCTTGGAAAAGGCTGGTTGCAGTCAAATTTTTCCGGAAAACGGTCGTGAAAAGGTACAGGATTGCTGAAACAAGAGATATAGTTATGCAACTCAGCAATCCTCTGCAACAAACTGCATTGTTTCTTTCTCTTATCTTTATTTTTAGGAACATCTTCTCAAGAATAACTTATAGTTTACTTTCTAGTTTCGCAGTTTGTTGTTCGTCCTTTTTCCCTTTGCCTGTACCCAGGGCTTGGCGGTACAAGCTGTGGACAGAACTTCCAGCTATTGGTTGAGATTCTGGCTGTAACTAGCTTTTTGCAAGGCACAATATTGCCACTGATTCAGCCTTGCGCCAGGTGGACAGACGTGTGGTAGCACAGCTAGAGCCACAATTGCCACGTCAACTTGCAATCGTGGCTTAGTTAGCCTTATCGAAGGTCACTTTCCAGTGGCTGTGCACAGCCACTGCGTTCAATCCACACAACCAATCGGCCTCAGTGTTTAGTGCCGCAATATCAGGTCACAAAAAGTTCGCACTTCGGGATTTGGATGGCATCAACTGGATCATGGGATTCCCGCATGCTATTAGGGCGCTCTTGGAAGTATCTGGCCAGCACTGTGTAGATGGAGCCTGAGGTGGGGCAAACAAAACCGGACACAAAGGCTTGGCGGTGGCCTCCACCAGGCTGTTAAAGCACGACGGGAGGGCCAGGGTCTGCTATTCTAGGCTCCGAGCAATTTCTTTGTGTTGATACTTATTATAGGCTTCCATGATTGCTTCTCATATTGGAGGCACTTAAATTTATTGTTATTAGAATGCAGATTTCGCCTTCGCTGGCGCCGGCGCCATCACGAGCACGTGCAGCATCTAGATAAAAGAGTTCCCTACGTAATAGAGAAGAGAGGGGTGAACCCAGTCGCCTCGAGGGAAAAAGATTGCTGTGAGCTTGAAGGTCATCTGTACCACTTGGTTGAATTTGCTACCTAACCCCACCATCCACAAAACGAAGACCGCTCTACCCTAAGATGCTGAATCCGAAATCCAGCAAGGGAAAGCGAAAATCTCAAGCTAAATGCTAAAAATCGGCTGACAGGCCTACCAGCTTCGGACAACTGGTTGGTGGCTGTAAGTTCAACGGATGAGAAAACAATGCATGGGCCATATGCGGGGCTGCATGGTTGTGCAGAGCTAACCCGATTTCAGCCATCCTCAGCCCCAAGCCCTCCGCGACACATTTGCTTTTGCGCTGCTGTGATCTGAAATCCTTAACAATGTCTAATTAACTGATCTTCTGGTTCAGACATTCGAAATTCCCTATAAGTCTTTTCTCCCTACCTTGCCATTTAACATAGCAGCGCGGCTAGATGGTTTCTGTCGGAGTGTTGGAGTTAAATGGTATTACCCTAAGGCTTTTGCTCATGTCGTCGCTAAACCAGGGCAGCTAGTGGAGGATGGGAGACGCGCAATGCGAAAATGGAAAACGGAACGGTAAGAATGCGTATGAGTGTTCTTCAACGCTAAACTAGGAACTAGATATACCCTCTTCCTAAAATTGGTTATATGTACGCATCCTTCCCAAAGACCTGTATTCGAGGCCCTAATACTCCTAGATTTTTGAAGGGAGGATTGCCAGTGGAAGAAACACAACGGGCGGAATTGTTTCGTCACTTTAATCCTCCCGCTCTTCTCGCCAGTAAGGCGTGCTCCGAAGGAAATGGCCTTTTTGGTTGTGAACCGTCTTACGATGAAAAAAAACTACTTCAGGCATGCAGTAAGTGTGAAATTGCTCCCAATTATTTGTAGCATTACAAGCACTAAGTTCCTCCTCCATACACTTGGTTTCGTTGCCTGGTCAAGAGAGTAAAAATTGTGGGAACCGCCTCCACAGATGAGGACAAAGACTTAAAGAGGGAAGGTAGCGTAGAATACGGATGGTACGAGATGACCTTCATGACATGCTGGTTGCCAGATCGTTGCATCATGTTATGCATCAACACACCAACAAGCATGCAATCAAAGCTCCAGGCTACCCTTTCGGGGGGCTCATTGAGCCTGGATGTTAGAGACCCGTTCTCTTTGTATGTTCCATTAATGGATGAGATTGTCAAGCTCTATGACCTATCCGTGTGGGGTATTCGAGATTTAATTCGTCCAATTGAAAAGGTGGCACTCGCAGTATCACTCCCAAAGTAGGATACACAGCTAATCCTTTTCGGCTAGGCTAGGAAGCAAGGGAATTACGGAAAGCACTTTTCGCTACTGGAGGACATGGTCCGACACTCGGTCCACGTTACTGAAGTCCTCATGGTCGCATTAGCCAACACACAAGATATAGTAAAATATCGGCAAACGTTACTCTCACAAGCCCCGGCGAAGTCCGACAAGGAAGAACTTGTCCTCGATAAAACCACTAGCTATATGAACTTCCAGGTTCAACTTCTCCGAAACCTCAAGCATCGCCAGCAATCCAATCATGATCGAGTACAGACTGAGACTACTTTGGTATTATCAGCTTCTCCCCCTAAGCTACAGCGAGCTAATACTATGTAGGCATTCAATATGACGACAATGCGAGATAGCAGGTCAATGAAAACCGTTGCCGTTCTAACGATGGTATATCTACCAGCCACTTTCACATCGGCAAGTTTCATTCCCCTCCTGTAGCCGTGACATCATTAACGCCAATGAAGGCCATCTTCGGCATGAACTTTTTTAACTACTCCCCGGGCAAAGGTAGTCAACCAGAGAGTTGGGCCACATCAGGAAAATTATGGATGTTTGGAGTAGTTGCAGCTGTGCTAACAGCAGCCACTACCCTTATATGGTACATCTTACAACATCGTGAGGGGAAGGACTTTAGGCTTCCCATCTGGTGGATGAAGATGATGAAACGACAGCATCCCAATGACCCAGAAAAATATTTTTAAGCGTGTACACAGTGGGGAAAGCTTACAATATGACATACACTACCGCGCTCTTGGCCCTTAGAAGAGTCAAAATAACACGATCGTCAGGCTATATCTTCAAATAGCTGAGCTCGATTGTTTATATTCGTTCACTGAATGAAAAGGCTTTAATTGTGGTCTTTGACCACATGGAAATGTGACACTTACCGGAGCCCAAACATCGTGTACTTGATCCCTCTACAGCGATATCTCCCAAACTGTTCAACGGCTCATCCAATTTTTATACCGTGAATCCCACACTATGATGGCCCTGGCATGGAATATTAAGGCCCTTGTTCTAAGTAATTATGGTCTATAAACCTATTAGTTCTCTCACTGCATTCTTACAGGTCTATTAACATATCCCCTTGGATTTAGTTCTCGATTGCAATTCATTCATTGCTCTCTTCACTCGCCTCCGCTTAAGATCTGCGTATTCCCATCATCTTCTATGGTATGGTTATTGCTGAGACTGCGGGTAGCTTCGTCGGTGCTACTATCTGAACCAGAGCATTTACACGAACATTAGATATTGATAGCTTGGCCCAGACATGCTTTTTATCATATGCGCGGTAAGTAGTCCAATTTTTCACTGTCTCACATTCAATTTGACGTCTGTTCCAAGTTTCTAGGTTGTCACCCAGATTCCAATGCGGTTTGCGAACTTAGGGCGTGAACTGATAAACCTGATCTCTCATTCTACGGATGAAGGTGGTCGAGGCTAGAGCCTCTAAGCTAATTAGACATAGTAATTATAAGACTTGAAAGATAGAACCCGTCAGTGTTTCATTCAGACAGCTCTTGCGCAAGTGTGTTGGCTCAGAAGAACGCACTTCAACAGGATGTCGGTACTAGACTTTACATACTATTAGATTCGTTTAAATTCGTGATGGTTTAGGAAACAAAGCATAAAAAACAGAAGCCTCAGACTAAACTACCCTAGTTATGATATAATAGAGCCTCATCGGATTTGTTCGATGAATCGGAGCTTGTGGCGCAATCCGTGTTTAAATCCGCCAGTCAAGATCGAAACCTCAAAAATTCTCAAGCTGCTGGCAACAATGTAGAAGCCCAAAGGTCCTTAAAATCCCTTTCCGTACTATAATTCCGTTAAACGTAGCTCAAAATGGCGGCCCAGCCTAATGCGCCATCCCCACCTTCGGTGTCATGACACTTGGCAAAGCCGGGGTCGAAGCAGGCGGGTATCGAATCTCAGCGACGTGAACAATATTCTAGATGCATTCCAGTCGCGCGGCTGCGACGAAATTGACACTGCCCGTATTTACGGTGGCGGTTCGGCTGAGGAGACGTTGGCCCTCCTAACTGGCAGGCCCGAAATCTAGTCATGGACACCAATTATACCCCCAAAAGGGTAAGAATATGCCAGTGGATACCACCATATACTCAGATCACCCCGGAAATGTGAGACGGGATCATTTTGATAGTCTCAAGGTCCTGAACACTAGTAACCTGGATCGAACTATGCCTTTTGATGCCCTACGCGAAGTGAGCATCTTATACAAGGGGGGGTATTTTAACATCTTCAGAATCAGGAATTATATATTGAGGGATCAGCCATCTGCGAGTTCTGCGAGCGCCACGGGTGAACCAAGCCTACTATCTACCAGGGAATTTACCATGTACTGCACTGCGCAACCAATCCTGAGTTAATGCCATGCCTGCGCAAATAAAATGTTCCGCTTTATTTGTTCCAATCACTAGCAAGTGGCTTCCTTACGTCAAGGTACCAGCGCGATATCAAAGAGGACGAGTACGAGAGTGGCTCACGGTTCGATCCGAAGCGGTGGCAAGGCAAGCTGGATCAGGGACGCTACTTGAATAGCTTCCGCACTGGTGTTCTGGACATCTGTAGGCCCGTCACTAGGAAGCATGGCTTAACTAAGGCCAAGTTTGTGCTACGATAAATATCCCATCATTGCATGACAAGCAGAGAAAATGGGGACAGACAGCTATCAGCGCGAAGAGTGCGAAGCAGTTAGAGCAGAATCTCGGGGATCTGGAAAAGGTACCGGCGCTGGATGGCATATTAGAGGCTCCGGGAGCTGCATGGTTCCATGTCAAGGGTATCGTTCTGAAGTACTTCCATTAGCTTGTCGTTGCCCGGCAGGAATGGTGCCAAGAGAAATCCTAAGTGGCAAGAGTTTCGGGGCCAACATATCTCCCCGCTTCATATTTCTACCTATGGGTATGTACAGCGCTTCCAACGAGGCGTAGTACTGTACGATTGGGCGTTTTTGAGGCCTGTACGGGTGAGATTTTGAGTACGTTCGTACGGCAGGGAGGAGGAGAGGTAGGTGTACGTATTGTAACCGTTACAGCTCACGTGATCTGTACAAGTAGTACAATTTAATTAAAGTACATTGTACTCTAGTTAAAACAGCTAATATTATAGGTCTCTAGAGACGCAGGATTAAGGTCTAAATAGCTATTAGATAACTAATTCTCCCTAGTAACATAAGCAGAGAGGTCTAAAAGCTTACTGCTTACTACCTTATTCTGTAACTAATTCTTCTAGAGTTAAATAGCCTTAATTGTCGCACTTTTTAGTAAGCCTTAATTGTTAGTTACTGTACAACTAGCCGCGCTAAGAACCTTGCTCATGGCATTAACAGCAGAGCTAGAGGCGGATTACCTTGCCCTGCTCCTCTATAAGCGTTAAATCTGCGCTATGAGCCTATACTTTTAACAGCGTACAATTGCCTTGCAACGTAGTCTTGTTCTTCACGCAGTAACCTAATTGCGCTAAGGGCAACGCCTATTTTAAGTCTAACATCTATATATTATTCTAGTTAATTGTAAACTTAACCCTAGCGTTATAATTGCAGTCCTCTAGGAACTGCTGCAACTGATCTTTAGCCACAGATGGTGTACTATCGCGGGATAAGGCAGGAGACGCAGTGTAGAGGGCTCTCGACTTCTGCAGTCTGCGAGACTGCGCAAAATGGGCGACAGAGGTATCCAATTGACTAGATGAGGCCTGTGAGGCGGCGAGGCGCGTGGATGGATAGCCCTGCAATAGAAAATAGTTAGTAATAGGCATTTTTAAGACAACAGACTGCAGATGGATAGATTAAAAGACTTAGAAAGAGATTTACGCGTCCTTGCAAAACTTTTGGCTAATTAGAGCTCTAGAAACCCTCCTGAACGCTCCCGCAGGGCCGCTCTTTGCTAGAGCTGTCCTACTCCTCTAAAATCGCCATACAAACTTCCTAAAAGGGTAATACAGTCTGTACTACGTACTGTACCTAGGGCATCATTAAACGTACGGTACGGCTCACAAACTCGGTACGTTTGTACTGCTCACGTGACCGTTACAGTTCACTTTGTACGGACCGTAGTACGGCCCGTTGGAAGCCCTGGGTATGTAAACTCATCCCCTTTTGGAGATTTTCGCTCACATTAACGGCAAGTAACCAGACATGCAGAGTCAGATTGAAAGGGGCAGTGTAAGGATGCAGCAGCGATAAAAGCGTAAAACAGACAAGCAATTCTGAATTCGAGAGGGCTAGATATAGCGGAAATAGCGGAATTGGTGTCTCGTATCAGGTTAGAATTGAAGCGAGTATGCCGTAGATGCGTTAAATGTCTTCCCCCATTTGAAAGAGCTCCTTCAAATTGGTCCTGTATCCTCAACCGTTCGACACTCACATGACCCACTTGAATCAATGGATATGCCCAAGCGTGTTTAAGATAGGAGCCGAAGTTCTCAGTACGCGGCTTTTATAATAAAAATAACTTCGCAACCCACATTTGCGCCAGCAAAGTGGAGAGTGATGTCAGGGAGCAGTAACAACCATAAAGATTCAGCGAATGTGACAAGAGTCTTTGAAAATAAGAAACTACTACATTTCTTTATCAGTTACCTATGTCTGCAATTTTCTATAGGTAACTCTGTGCATGATGCCAACACTCTGAAAATTTCTACTAACAATTCTCTACACTGCCACCGTTTCCTTCAACTTCCCATCCAAATTCTGTGCCTCGTGATGCAGAGTCGCTGCGACCTTCTCGCTCATCAACTCATCTGTATTCGGTGCCCACCACGTCAAGATAACAGCCAAACCAGAGAAGGCAATTGTAGAGAGATACACTGTTCTGTACGCGTCCGCACTCGCATTCTGGTATGCGCGAGAACCAATGGCGATAATTGCTTCCGTAGCCCCTGGAACCGCGGATAGGGCATCGGCTCCCAGTTGGAGCGCTTGTAAGAATGCCGGAACGCTCTCAGCAGGAAGGCCTGCTTTGACAAGAGCTGGTGGGACTTGGGCAGGAATGGTCTCACCCAAGCGGTTGGTCATGATGGAAACGTAGATGGCGACGAGAACGGCACAGATGGCTGCTCGGACGGACCCTGCAGTCCCACCAGCAACACCAATTTCTCTTTGATCCTTGACGAGAATTGTGGCGTTGGCGAGGCAAATAGATTCGTTCCAGCCGATGAAGAAGCATCCCAGAAAGATGAGGGCGACCGTCGTACCGAAGTTTCCGACATTGGACACGGCGGCAGCTAAGATATTTTATCAGTTCGCGAGACTGGTAAGAGGGAAGGAAGGTCATGAATACGTACAACCGAGGAAGATCCCACCGATCAGGAAGACTCCCATGCATTGATATCGCGTCTTTCCAATTGGAACGGCAAGAAACCCTGCCGCGATTTGTCCGGTGATTATTCCAATTCCGATAATGGTACTCATGTAGCCTACTCGAACAGCATTACCATTACCATACAGCACAGCAGCTTGAGCGGGCCAGATGATGGCAAATGCGTAGTAGACGCCAGCCCCTAGACCTAGGAGGATAACCGCTGCCACCCAGCGGCCATTCTTGAATAGATGCATCGGAATAAGGGGCTCTTTAAGAGGCGCATAGATCTCGTAAAGAACGAAGATCACTAGGACAACGAAGCCAACGACAATAGCAGAGATAACCGCAGCCGACTTCCATGGATAGACGCTTCCGCCCCAAGATAGACCCATGAGGAAAACGATGAATCCACCGGCAAATAGAAACGTCCCAATCCAATCGAAGTGTTTCAACCAATACAACTTGCTACGATTCTCGTCGTTCTTGTGCTTTTCATCGAAGGTTGGAGGGAAGTAAAACGCCGTCCAGCATAGGAATGCCGCAGTATTCATGGCAAGTAAGAGCCAGTAGACACCTCGCCAGCCAACACTTGGATAGTAAGTAATGAAGCTCGTGGAAATTGCAGGTCCCATGCCAGAGCTACCATAGGTGAAGGCGTAGGTCACGCCGATGGCGACGTAGCGATGTCTCATTGGTACGAGCTCTCCGACCACAAAATGGAAGCTCAATTGAGTCGCGCTAATAGAGTATAAGCGTGTATAATTGATGGTACATATCGCCGAAAGACTTACGTAGCAGCGGCAAGCAAGACGTTTCCACCAATCTAAAGCCGGTTAGAAGATGTTTAATAGATTTGGGGAGGGAGAATCTTCACCAGCGTCGGAATGTCCTTAGCCGTAGCGCATACAATGCTTCCGATGATCGCGACAAGGGCGCCGCCGACAAAAAAGTATCGACGTCCAAAGATATCGCTCAAACGGCCAACCGGGGAAAGGAAAACTGCTAGAACAGCATTGTAAACGAGGGAAATCCAAACATATCGGCCATCCGGGCCAATGTCTGCATTTATTACGCCCAGGATCGGAGCAGCGAAGCCAAATGCACCCGTACCGCACATAATTGCCAGGCCTGTGGCAAGAAACGTTCCTAGGAAGAAGCGACTTGTATAATATCCATCGGGAAGAGCCGCCAGTTCCGCCTCGAAGCCATAAATCTCGTTCGTGGGACTATGATCCAAGGATTGAGCCTTCTCAATTGTCTCGGTGTGGGTCGGTACTTCCTTCACAGAATTATGTCCCTCGGCCATTTTTGATGAAGGATTGGTGGAACTATAGGGGCGTTGGTGTATGGTAGTCAGGAAGAAGGAAAGAAGGCAAGGGGAAGCATGCAAGACCGAGCACTCAGTTACCCAAGAGCGGAGACTCCATGTACCTATGTACCATTACAATCGGTCCGGGGGTTCAGGGAGCTTGTGATATGCGAACGCCATATGATAATTGCGTAGGTCTAGACCAACATGAGAGACTGGGCCCAGATGCGGGGAACAATAAAATAGAAGGATATGGCTGCTGGCTAGATATCAAAAGGTTAGGTTGTTTTGGAGTTCCGGCAAGCTGGAGAATCCGGGAGTGGCGAACTCGCGTTCCCGGGTGAACATTTCCTACCAATTTCCGCACAAAGGCTTGGCCGAACAGTGCAGTCGATCAAACCAGAGAAACACGCCATTCCGAAGAAAGAGTCGCAGGGAGCTCGTCATCCGGGACTTTGGGTCGGGATCTTCTGGAGCGCCCGGGGACCTGGTATCCATTTTCGAAAATCAATGGCGTGCTTGAGGTTCTTGGTGGTGAAAGTCGGCTGAATCGATACGGGTAACGAGAGCATGGTAATGGCTAGAATTTAGACACGAACTGACTTCGAGAGCGCATACATGGGAGCACAAAAAATCGGCTTCGCGTTATACAAGGCCTATGATCTGCATATCGATATGACTACACGTGAGAATTAAATTCTTCATTCAGATGTTGCTATAAGTCTTGCATGTCGAAGCCGACAAGTATCGGTAATGTTGTGGAGGGCATCTTAACTGCCGCTGGGGCTAAAAAAAAATGTCTTTCTCAAGGCCATACCCGACCGACCATGTTCCGACATCACATTTGCCAGTCCTGAGACAGCTTGAAAGAAGCCGGGTGTTCAAATTTGCGTAGCTTAAGGCGTTGCTTTGGTTAGTCTTGCCAAACCCGAGCCAGGTGGCCTGGAGGCGGTTGCTTCTACTCGTAAATGAGGCCATCTTGAGTCAGGGGACTTCCCATGGAGTCGTGGCCAGTGATGCCCAGGTGAGGTCTGAATCACGAAATCCCAGGTGTACCCTGCGCCGATCATGAAGTCAGCGATGCTAAAACCCCAACCACATAGCAGTGCGAGTAGGTAAGGGATCCGAGGTTGCAGTGGGCATATAGAAAAGACATTTAGGCTGTGACATTTGTGGGAATAATCTTTACAAGCTGGAGCCATGTCTCAATACCAACAGCGCAAGATTACGGGTCTTGGGCTTACTCTTTCAGTACTTATGTGGAAGCCAATGTGGCCGTTAAGTTCTTCCGCCGCACCCCAACTAGTCCTGATCAGCAATGTTTCGCGACGACTTTCGTGTGCCTCGCCACACACAGACTTATACTAATGAAGGAACGGATGAGGGACGAAAATAATCGTCTCTTGGGGAGTTCTGCAAAGGATCGGTTCTTCCGACTTTAGATCTAAGCTAAGAATTGCCGTTATCTTTCATCAATACTTCTCGTAGAGGGCAATCCTATAAAATGATAGATAACTTTATGAGGATGCTAGGAGACAGTTTCTCTCTCTACGGCGCATGCATTCTAAAGTTGCTATCAGAATGTACAATAGAAGGTAGGTTTCGGAGTTGTTCTGAAGTCAAGAGTGGCATCTGACATCTGCGTCGTCCGGCCCTGACACATATGCGAGGTTTTCCTGATTCGGAGGGCGGTCCCTACATTTTGCGAAGCCTGTGATTGCAAAAACCTCATTTGGGACCTGATCTGATCTTTCTTTATCTTGGATGAGTTGAAGTGCACATGGGCGACGCTCATCTACAAACTTTAAGTGTTGAAAGAGCCAATCCGTGAGTTCAATATCTTTAGTGTAGCTGAAATGCCGGCTTTTTGATTTTGCAGGTGAGAGGACAGTCTTTTTCCTCTTCAGTGTCAGCGAGGTTCGAACAGGTGAGCTTCAAGCGAGCAGTTGTAAGCGACTACCTTCGTCCCGGTACGACCATTGTTTGTATTGCGAATTGTAATCGTTGAAAACACCAGAGACCTAAAGAGCACGAACAGGTGATACAAGTGAGATCAGACCGACGGTGGGTGCCGAGTGGTGTTTTTGGTGTTGTTAGAGCCGAGCAACGTCACCCGTTGATAATCTCAGATGGCGCAGGCGAAAGCCAGATATGACCAATCCTTGCATTGATTCGTAGAACAGTGCGTGAAAAAAATTCAATTAACGGGGTTGATTGGACACCTCCTAAAGCCGAAAGAATGATTAAATTTCATTTGGTGGGACCGGGTCGTAATTCCCGGCACGCCATCACGGCAGTCTCCATTTACCCCCGAGCTCATATTGTTTAGCACGGATCCTTGCATCGGCTTTGGTGTTGTATGATTGCAGGGATACCAAGTAGCAGTTACGTCGTAGAACAGGTATTGGATTCTTAAAATCTATCTGGTATAAATTATTTCTCCGCATAGGGTTGATGAAGAGATGGAAAAAGACCCGGCGGAAGAAGAGGACGGATGAGGGAACTGATGTCCTTGAGGATGACAGAGGGCATATATAGCTCCACAGTTGGAGCCTTAGTTCATGTATCTATTTCCTCTCCCCTCCTAACAATTCTTAGGTTGATTAAGGCTTAGATATCATGAAGTTCCTATCCATTGTCGCAATAGAAGGCTTGGTCCTTGCATCATCCTTGTTCAATGTCGTCCAGGCAGCATCGGCGGGATGCGGAAAGGCAGCAAAATTGAAGGCGGGAACGAACACGATGACCGTGAACAGCAAGACTCGCGACTGGATCCTCACACTTCCCGATAACTACAACAATACCAAGCCTTATCGTCTCATCTTTGGGATTCATTGGCTTACGGGCACTTCCAGCGACGTCGCCAATGGGGGATCTATCCAGCCATACTACGGCCTACCTCCACTCGCAAACAACACCGCTATTTTCGTCTCTCCGAACGGACTCAAGTCTGGTGGCAGTACCGGCTGGGCAAACAGTAACGGCGAAGACATAACGTTCATCCAAGAAATCGTGAAGGCAGTCGAGGCGGATTACTGCGTGAACGAAAAGCTTCGTTTCTCAATGGGTTTCAGTTACGGGGCCGGCATGTCGTACTCCATCGCCTGCACTCTTGGAAAAGACTTCCGAGCCGTTGCTGCATTGTCAGGTGCCCTACTGAGTGGATGTGTTGGCGGAACCGACCCTGTGGCGTACTACGGCCAGCATGGACTGAGCGATTCGGTGCTGCCGATCGCGAGTGGTCGACAATTGCGAGATACCTTTGTGAAGAATAACGGCTGCACTCCGCAGAGCCCACCCGAACCAACCAAAGGAAGTAAGACGCATATCCGGACAGTGTACTCGGGCTGCGCCTCAGATAAGCCCGTGTGGTGGACTGCGTTCGATGGCGACCATACCCCAATTCAGGCGGATAACACTGGGCCGAACAAGGACACGACCTTTACGGGAAAGTCAGTCTGGGAATTCTTCTCTCAATTCTCTTAAACTCCTCTACTCTTAAAAATTAGTTTAGTTATTCAAGCATTGCCACCTTGGGTCAATATAACGATGTAAGCAATCCAGAATGAACGAAGTCTCCAACCCAGATCGTCTTCTTTGGGCGCTCAGTGAAATATAGAGTGTACTTGCCGTGCCAACAGTGTAGAAAGATCCAGGTTGCTACTTATCTTCTATTGTCCTCGCCAAACGACAGTGGATGTGGTGTCCGTTGACTTGCGAGTCGTGCTCGATGAGTAATGCGTGTTACGTTCTTTCTTCGCGCCTTTTCCGGACCTATTCGATTGTATGACTGCTAACTCATTGCAGACCTGATGTAAACACCATGGTTCCTCGGGAATATACTCATCCCCGTTGACGGCAGAGAGCCAGTCTGCCGTGAATTTGTTGCGCTATCGCGTTAGATAATAGTCGAGAGAATATACTTGAAGTACTATCGAAATGGGAAGTAGGTTGCGACTTACTAGTCGCTGTCAAGCTTGAGCAACGTTTCGAGGGCTATGTGTGCGATGGGCCTGGAACGACGCCCGAAATCGTGATGAGAAGGGGAGGTAGTATTGGAAAATTCACTTGCCGTCATCGAGGGAGATGATAGCGTAGTGTTCGACTTTGCGTGGTAAGATAAGGGCTGTGATTGCAGGCGACCTGGAAGTGATAATGTTGCGCAAATCTCGTCCGTGTTCTAGCGACAGCGCAACATTGAGACAGGGATACAGCTGGAGGGGTACAGCTGAGACGAAGGTGTTCCTTGGTATGAGAATACTCTTCGACGTGGTTGGAGGCGATTAGGAGGAGATGGGCAGGGAGTGTCTCGTGGAAGCTGGATGCTCTGGGTTGCGTCTTAAGTATATCGATAAGCACTCCAAGATACGTGTTCAATGATGCCCCTTGGTACCTCGAGATGCAGATAATTATTCATCACTGAACCTAAAAACTCAACATTAACCTTGCATCCATGCAGAGTTGGAAAGGCACCAACCACGATATGATCTCTGTGCGCACCTATCAGCCGATCATGTTGTTGCGTTATCTCACCATTTTCACTCTTGTCGTGAACACCAGTGTGTATCTCTCGCGTGCTGCCATATCGACGGGACCGCATGAACCGTATTCGATGCGGCTTAAGCTACCACGTGTCATTGGAACGGTTTAGGCTAATCTCCTTCTCCAGACTTGCCCCTGTTGGCACTTCTCGTTCTGAATATACTTCGCAGAATAGCATGTATGAAGGGGATTCTGGAGAGTTGGCGTTGTGGTACCGAGCTAGGCAGGGCTTGCCACTGTACGGCAGCGCAACTGAATACCTTCTTCACCTCGGGTCATATGAAAATTGCTTGTGAAGTTTTTTCTTCCTGATTTTGAGGGCTAGGTAGTAGCATACCCTAAATCTGTTGCGACATGTACAATACGTTTCAATTGAAATAGAGGCAAACGAGAACATTTCCGTCAGCCTAATGACCTCACTAAGTCATCAAACAGCCCCGAAAAACTATGATAATACTCGTCCTTAGTCTTTACATTTGTCAAGAACACCCAGTCTGCAGCGCTTTCGACTTGTTCAACCACCCAGTCGATGACTGTCTTTGAGATATCCGGCATCGAGTGTAGAATAATGGCAGTCTTAGATCTTCTAGCTTGAGTTTTCTGAAGGGCGTCGAACGTATTTTTGCTGATCCATTTGTCGAAGGTTTCTTCGAAGACGACGGTGATATCGGATAGGTTCATGTAAGACTGCGAGAGGACGTTTTTCGATGTGAGAATAGATGTTGGAACGAGGCCCGGGTTGTGTACTGAGAGTTATCAGCGAGATATTCTTGTCGAGGTAGCCCCCCCTAGACCTCCGTAAGTACAATGCGGAATATGAAAACTATATACCAACGAATCGATCCCGAAACCTAGTTCCATTCTTCACCGCTTGACTAGCCTTCTTCAGGTACTCATACTTGGACGAATCATACGTGCTCGGGGTTTCATCGAAAAAGATGCCGTCAATCTTCATCTTGGTATCATTTGCAACCTTTTCCCAGTTTGCATACGTTGCAATCTCCGCCAATACATCCTTCAAGTCCTTTTTAGTGTAGTTCGTCGCCACGTAGCCTAGTGTACGAATGTTTTCGTATGTTCGCAGTTTTGGGATTTCGTTTAGATAGTACTGGTCGGGAAGAGAACCAGTGCCAGGGCCGGAGCAAGGATTGATGATGACAGTGAACTCAACGTCGGTGTGGGTTTTCGCTCTATAGCTGAGTGTCAGGGACTGGATGAGGACTAGGATAAAGGACAATTCCTCACGCAGAGTATAATGGATCCCAAGCACCGGTGGTGGGATATACGTAGAGCGGGAGAAGGATCGACATGGAGGGCATTTAAATGCAGGGACTAGGAAAAACAACACGATGAAAATACCTTCCTGAGGGCAGTATTTGACAGATATTTCGAGGTCAAAGAAAAACGTGGCAATAAAAAGGAATCTAACATATAGAATTCGAGTATAGATATCATTCCCTCACTTATCGTTCCTAGGGTTCACGACGAGGTGCAAAAACAAATAGTGTTTGTTCTCGCCATCGAAATTGCAGACGTCATATCGCAAATTAAGAATTCGTGGACATCCACTTGCGCGTCAGCCGGGATTATTCTGGTGGAGATGCTGTATCCAGGTTAATAGACGGCAGAATAAATGCTCATACATGAAGTGTCGCTTACACATATGAAGGACCAGGTTCTTTAATAACCGGTCCACGATCAAACACAGAACACTCCCCGGCCCAAATTCTGGTTCGAATGCGGCGCTCTCATCAAACGTGGATATCCTTTGAATTCATGATTGAAATCTCCGTTCGAATCTGGAGTGACGAGAGGATCCTTCCATCTAACATTTTCGCGCACGAGTTTCATATACCGGGTCCTACATCCCCTGCACAACATACAAAGCAAGAATATAGTAGCGGGGCCACCGATCCGGGGAACTTAATCTGCCGAAAGGCCGGCCCTTACTACCGAGGCTATTTCTAGTACGAAGTACTTGGATGAGTGAACGTGCCTCGAAAACCGCTTTCCAACACTCCGACCCTAGGAAAGAACCACATCCAAGAGTACTTGGCCAACAGAGAGCAGTTGAGATGCAGATTGTTCCTTTTCTGGTGATCCTCCCAGATATGCCCTGAGGTTTGATCGACATCCCCCTGATTTCTCGGCTTCTAGGTTTTCACGAAGGGCTGATCAAATCATGAGTCGGGAGGAAACACGCAATACGGCTTCATGTTAGTTTCAGTGTGCGCTCTCAGATTCCAAGCCGTCAATGTATACAATAAGAGCAATCCTATCTCGGTGAAGCCTTGATTTAATGCTGACGTTGGTGAAAATAGGTTGATCATTGAAGGAAACCATGGAGGACACTGTTCTTGGGGTCACACCTGTGGCCTGTCAAATGGTCCACATGCAACAATGGCAGCTTCCCACAATTCCTTTGAGCTCTTGCTCGGCCATTCTTGGGAATTATCGTTCACAATCTTGCACTACACGCGACGGGTCCCTCGATGGAAACCGTGAAGGAGCTGGAAGGGATCACAACCCGATCTTAGGCGGCTGTCATTGAGCGAACTCAGGTGTGCCGGCGCATCCGTCTTGTTTCTGGTTTCATCCACAAAATACCAATAAACTTCGAGTTTTAGATGGGAATGCGGAGTTCCTTGACCCATGACCAATTCTAGGGTAGCTAAACTTGGACGGTACTGAGCTGGACAGAACTGTCAGAGCGCTGGCTAGGACGCACGTAGAAGCAATGCAAGTCTTCGATCACAAACTTTCGCGGTATCAAGGGAGTCTGTCGAGCGTAGATTGGACGCCTTTCTCCGATAGAGTCGGCCTCTCCAGCGAGAGTGAGGCTTTGGGCATTGACTCTGGTGTACTGTTGTTCATCAGACCCGAGCTTCCTAATAATGACTCCAAGGCGTTGATTCTGAGCGGCCGCGGCTGGTAATGTTGCCACAAAAGAGTCTTCCGAGATCAGTAGCCTCAGGTTTAATTCTAGGTGGAGTCCGAGGTTGGTGACGGTCGAAGGGAAGTTCGCGTGTAGGACAGTATTGTACACATTGGCACAGTCCTTGAACTCACCTGGAGAATGTGCTAGTAAGCCTCGAAAAGTTGAAACCCTAGCATTCTCTGCTTTCCAGGCGAAGACTGTATGATCGGAACTATTCTTCATGATTTATTCTTGTAAGGGAATGAATGCCGTTGCTCCCTCTCCATATAACATCGCCATGTGAATGCCAAACAATCCCGTGAGTCAATACGCTACGTCTTCCTCTCGAGTAGTTGCCCAGCTAGTTGCCCACTAAATTTTCTGCGCAATTGATTTTTCGTTCAGTTCACCATTTTGCAAGACAAAGATAGGTATTCCGGTTACATTGCTAATCGTGGGTAGGGCAGAATGTTTGTGGACTATATAGTGCCACGATCAGTCGTAAAAGACAACCTAATGCGGCCCGATAAGCTCCTGCAGCGTCTACCCTCTCCTGACCCACCTAGACGAGGAAAGTACGGCCTTGAAATATAGCGAGAGGATTTGATCCTTGGTCCTTGGCTCTCGTCGCCTAGATATACGACACAAAGTGAAGATCCTTGATACCAGTGATACATTGAGTTGGACCTTGGTGGCTTCTTGGAGGCTTGGAGCTCTGCGCCGCTACTCTTAGCAATGCAAAACCGGTGGACACTAGTGACAATATGGAAGCGATTAGCGCCTTTACGCGACTTGTAATTTTTCCGCTTGCTTTAGATTTTCCTTCCGTATTTTTCCCATCCCTCCGATATGTTCTAACTGTTTATTCCACGATCCCTGTGAGCCACCTTATACGCTCGCGATTGAGAGCCCGAAAAAGGCAACAAATTTCCCAATCAACAACAATTAATGTATGCTCTTTTGAGCGCGATTTCCACAGCCTCCCCTCCCGTCTGCAGGATGACTATTACTACTTGCACAGCCCCAGAAAGGCGCCTGGTTCTCCACCACTCAAACGCGCAATCGTGCACATTCCGCCTTACCGCCCGCTGCTAAGCTGGTGAACGCCACAATGTCTGTCTGATATGGCAAGCTAGCTACTCGTCGTCGTTAGTCTCCACGACAACTACTCCACCCATGACTCCCTCTTGCTGCTAAGAGCTGGCCGGCTGAACGTCCTCTTTTGCACTCGTCGCCTATAGAAACCACATGCCTCCGGTCTACTCGTACCGCGAACTAGGAACCAGAATCAATGGAACCGCTAACCATCACCGTCGGCGCTGTCTCTCTAACCGGGACAATCACCAAAGCTATCTTTACCATCAACACCTTTGTGCGAGCCGTCCGCGACGCTCCTAGCGATAGGGATGCCGTCAAGAGCGAGCTAGTCACTTTAAAAACCGCTCTCGACGGTCTAACCGACGACTTCGAGTCAGCGGACCCGACCTCGGGGGATGAACCCATACCAAAAGTCGTCCAGACTCACATCGTGAAGATCATTGGGAGTTGCTATGACGTGGTGCATGCTATTGAGGACCTGCTTCAAGAGCATTCGGGAAATGGTGTGAAAATGAAGGCAAAGTGGGCTTTAAGTGGGAGTGATGATATGGCGAAGTTGAGGTCGAATCTAGAGGCGCGTAAGTCGGCTTTAGAGCTGGCGCTGGATGTGGTTGTGCTGTGAGTGGTCTCAGATTGAGATGCGCGACATTCCTGATCTTTTACTAGTGCCATTACGAAAGATATCAGGAGGGATACTGGCGACATCAAGCAGGATACAAGAGATATCAAGGACACCACCGAAAACATCAAGCGGGATATCACAGAGCTCAAGAGCGATGCAGGAGCTCTTCACGAACACTCCACTGCTATCAAAACCGACACGTCTCGGATTCTGGAAGAGATCCTGCGATTGCAAACTCTCCTCCCAGACAATGTTCTACAGTCCTTCGGTGACATGTCTAGCTATGCCGAGTCTGTCCTGGACGCGTCCCCGCGGCATTCCATCGACGAACCAGAACACCCCAAGCTGAAAGAAGATGGCACCGACGAAAAGAGGACGACGAATGGTCCATCTAGATCCGTCCAGGACTCGTCTCCACGGCATTCTGCCAATCGGAATCCGAAACGGCTCACGGATGAGGATACCAAATCCCACCTTCGATCCGACTCCGTCTGGGCCACGGATAGAGAAAAGGAAACCAGCAGGCAATCCAGACGAATGCTAACTCATGAGCTGAGCCTCGGTCAAAACGGATCGAGCTTCCCCAGGAGTGATACCTCTGGCGGGGCAGCGGCAAGTACAACGAGAACAACCCTCCAAAAGCCTGAAAAGCAATCCCAACTATCTTCCATTCACCAGCAAGGCCCGGTCCCGAGCGAATCGAGCACCCTCCAGAGTAGCAGCCATATCTCGGCTGACCCAACGACAAGCGCAATTAGAAAGGCCTGCGAAGGTCTGGACATTGAGAACAAAAAAGAGCCTGACAGCCATTCCGAGTTAGTTTCGTTGTTCAATGGTAAGTCGAGAGTCGATGGTGTATCTGGCTATTCTAAATTCTTCAAGATCTTAATTGTGTCACTCTGAACGGTAAAGAGCTCAACATCGACATTCACCAGAATAAACTCGGTCCACAACCAGGGGACGTCCAGATATCCCTCGAGGGGCTCAAGAGATACGACAGAGCGCACACAGAAGAAGTTATCCGTCTATATTCTCAATCACAAGACCCGACGGAGAGGCGAGTCCTTCACATCCTCCAGCAGATGCTCGACTCGGACATATCACCGTCCCTGAGTGTAAGTCCCATAGGAAACAACATACGCCATCTTCGAGGGACCATCCTTGGCCCTTCTGATTCACCTTACGCGGGCGGCATTTTTCATGTTGAGATTGTCCTCCCAGTAGGATATCCGTTCATGGAACCTCTTGGGCAAACGCTCACAGGTGTTCCGTTTCCCCGTTATCATGGATTCTTCAAAAAGGATTGGCCCCACCTTTGGGATCCGTCGGCGTACCCCTGGGCGCGCTATCACATGTATCTTGACCGTATACTCTCTAGCTTTCACAAGATGCTCGCTCGGGCAAAGCAAGAAAGGCCTTGGCTAGAACCCAGGGCGTCAGAATTTCACCCCAACGCCCTACACCCAACGGGCTTTTTCTACACTTCTGAGCAGAGAGTCCGGGAAATGACCAACAAATTCGCCCAGCCGGCCCAAAAGCTTTCCCTTCCACTGGTCGATGCACTCGAAAACGCGACATCGTTAGCTGCCAAGTTGGAGGAGTGCAAGAAATTGAAGCCTGGCCCAGCTGCCGATCAAATGGTGGCATTATCATCTGCCCGGCTCGGCGCCTTCCTGGTGAAGGAGGGCACTACGCTGAAGCTTGACGAGGCGACAAAACTGCTCAGGGGGGCGCTCAAGATATTTCGAGAGCGTGGTCAATTTCAAATGGGCGAGCGTCCTTTCAGGTGGCGATGTAGAAAGGAGGACGATAACCCGGGACTACTCTTCGCGATGAGTAGCCTTACACATGCGCTTTGTCTCAAGGGGGAGTTGAGCGAAGGGGCGGCGCTTGGAAAAGAGTATCTCGAGCAGCTAGCACTTACCTATAGGCTCCACCCTTCTTTCGTCGAGTTCGAGATAGGGGAGATGGAGAAGCTGTTCGCTGTGACCGGCCCCGGGACCAACCCTCCCGTAGTCGACTTGGAGAACCTCAAGAAGGAATTGGAAAAGAAATGGGAAGAGTGGGAGAGGTGCTATGAATCGGCATGACGAAATCGATTGGCTGAGTTCAGCATCGTGTGCGGAACGGACGACGGAAGACAAAAATGAGCTAGGCGATTTCTGCGGACAGAGAGGCCCGCGACATCTTTTAACCGAAGCTCATCGGGTTACGCGCAATAGTCACCTTCAAGCCTGCCTTGCCTGACCACTGGATCTGACATTGATATGATGTGGTTTAGCTAGGGGCGGCATTTCTTTAATCAGATAGAACAAACTTACCGTAAATGTAGTGAATATACTGCTACTGTCAAGGGATGCTTGTCTATGAGTGTCTGTTTGTACAAACATGCCCATAATTAGGTTGAGAATAGTTTAGCGAAGCTGGTCGTTAGTCGACTTAGGGTCTCTATATCGTCAAAGTTAATATCTAGAACGCGCGTTACACTTTGCTCCAACCATTCTAATGACAGTTTAGGCAGTTAAAGCTTGTACTTGAAAAGTATAAAGATTGGAAGGAGAGACTACCACCGGCCGAATATGTGTAGTTAAGGATTGTAGGCAAAGGAAGTAGTACCGGCGGCACAGGGGTCTGACTACTCCAAGCCTATCACCGGCCATCCCTACGAGCTGCCGAGCCCCGATTTCAGGCCCTATTCATTCTACTCAGGCACGATCAGGAGGAGCTCAGGCCTAAATCGGGCACAATCACGCTAGCTCAGGGTGAGCTCAAGCTAGCTTAGGGTGAGCTGAAGGCGCGGCTAAGGGTGAGCTCAAGCTGGCTCATGACGAGCTCAGGTATACACAGCCACAGCTCATGCTGCTTGCTCACTGCTTTGATTTCGCCACGATCGGCCCTGATTATGCTGGTCCTGAAATCGGGCCCGTAGGGGTCGGAGGAGACCAAGCATAATCATGCTAACGCAAACCTCAAATTAGGGCGACCTCAGCCACGGCTCAGAGGCTTGAATTCAGCCTCTTTTACAGGGGTGAAGCATCAAAGAGCATAGATCCGAAGGCAGAAACGTGACTGAGTCAGAAATCAAGAACACATCCAGCTAAATTTTGTCCCTCAAGCTCGGTGACGACTCCGCCGTTTTCGGCGGCATCTACCGCCCTGTTCGTAGGGCATTGTCACCAGTGGTGGAACTATATAGTGCAATATGCATCAGCCCACAAATAGCGGTATCCCTTTGCTTTCGCAATCTTCGCAGTCTAGACAATCTTGGCGCATCCAGCTCGTGCCATTATGTCTTCCTCGGACGCTAAGGAGGCTCCGGAAAAGCTGGCATCAAGACTAGTGGGTACAAAGGGTTGTCTTTGAATTCATCCGAGATAGATCTCACCTTCTGGAGCCAGCGCATATCCTGATAGCTGACTTCATCTTCGCCCCAGGTGTGGGAGAGAATGGCGTACAATGGTAGGTCCTTCTCGTTGAAACCACTTCAGCTCGAGGGTACCCGCTTCAATGAGTCGCATCCTGGAAGTTGACAATGGCGCATGTGAACAAACATAGGGTCAAAGAGGGACTAGTCTTTCAAAACCTGAAGGAAGAATACAATGTAATCGTCAACGCAAAAGACCACTAGGGCAGGTTCGATCAGAGAGTTAAAAATGGCCTGATTATATCGCTGACTAAGCAATAGGACCGTGCCCATGACGAACTAAACATCGATTTTCTGACCAAAACAGATTCGTATATTCCCCATTAACCATCTCCACCCTTCCTTTTCCCTTGTAGAGCTCCTTGTCAGCCCTTTAAACTCTCCCTTTACCATCCTATCATGGTTCTTCGGTCGGTAAGGGCCCATATCTACACCATTCAAATACCTTGCTCCTACCGCTCGTTTCACAGCAGACTCGCAAAATTTGTTACTATAAATGCCAAAGGGTTCCCAACCGAACGGGAAGTTAGCATTCGAGTTGGCGATGACCACGAGGCATACGTGCTCGTGCCTACAGATGTTGGCACTGCTATAAAGGCAGGCTGTGCATTGCAACAGGGATTTTCACATAACACGGACTCCGAGCATTTGCTGTTCCATCACGATACTCGACGCTTCACTTGCAGTAAGTTGCGTATTCATCGTAACTCTACTCATCCTCATATCCTTCCAAGCGTCGGCTCCATATCCGCAGCTTTCAATCGATCACGATCTGCCTCGTCAATCAAACTCTAAAACTAGCCCTGCTACATTATATCTGTTTGGAGCTACACATACAATTGCCTTAGATAAGACACCAGACGGTACGATTTAACAGACAGTGGTTTTTAGTTGCTTACTTTTCACCAGCTGAATTTGCAAAAGAGTCTCAAGAGACGTGGCGCGAAATGAAGCCGGTGTTAGATAACCTCAAGGATATGTAGTCTGTCGAGGTTACGGGTATGCGCAGAATCCCCTCATCACCTATGGCTCTTGACTTAGGACTTGAAGTTTACTCGTGGTGTCCTCATGCATTCGTAATGCTCTGCGGCTTTATTGTGAAAATACCATTATGTCCTAGGCCCAAGGGGGATCGCAACCCTTGCGTAGAGTTTTCCTAATTCTTCTGCCGACCACTCATTTGTGACAACCTTGACGTGAGCCTGTTCAAGTTCCTTATTATTGCCGCCGCTGAGTGGAATTCGCTGGAGCCGGTATCCATTAATCTTCAATAACATGTCCGCTGCAACAAGGGCTATCCTTTTGTTGCCATCCTGAAAGGCATGGTTCTTCATAATCTTCTCAGAAAAGTCCCCTGCGAGTGCGAAAAGATCTTGCTGACCGGTATAGTGTTTAATGTTTATCGGCGATGCGACTGCTGACTCTAGTAGTTCTGTTTGAGTTGGCAAGCCATTGGCTATAAAAGTGGCATAAAGTCGCTTGACTTGGTTGGCGTTGAGGAATCGATACGTCTTGGGACCCATCCCCATCGAAGCCTAGTATACTAGTTAGTTCAAAGACGTACATGCGAAGATAATTACGGGCATAGTACAAATGCCGTTCCACCAATCCTGGAGCCCCTTTATCTCGGATGTAGGTCAGCGAAAGGTTTGAAAATCACGCTTTCGAAAACCTTTCTGCTTATCTAATATTTCTCTGATTGGCTATCATGAGCCTGCCTGTCGGGACGTTGATAGGCTTCATACATTAAGGAATGCATATGAAGAATGCGCAACAATCATCTTGATGTTGCCTTTTTACTAGAAACCAGTCAAGGAGCCGAGTACCCTAGGATCTCACAATTGTACTACGCACAGGCTCTAGTACTAAGAGATCAAGCTAAGTACCAAACTGGAGGGCCCATCTGTGCGGGTCTATATTTGGGATATCGCCATCGTTGTAAATGTCCACACTCGGGCAGAGTGAATAGATCGGGTTTAGTAGCTTCGCCATAGCGCCTATGCTTTGGTTCCGAATAATGGCCGCATAGAATCCAAATAGCAGGTCATAGTTAATCTCCAAAACCACTACTAGAATCCGCGAGAAACACCAAGAGAATGCCTTTTTTTTTTTCTATGATTATCGGCAGTACAATTGAAGCACATAAGAAGCAGAGGGCGAGCAGAAGATTCTTCTCATATGATGCGAACCTGATCCCGACCGTCCAAGACGCCGATGGATTTAGATCAGAACATCATCTCCGACATCTTCCGACTCTCTACAACACCGCTCTAACAACCTCGCTACCAACGGGTCTTCTCTCTACAATATTTTCTCGATGAAGGGTCTCGACTTCTGCCCACCTTTTTTCTACATCCTTCTCACAATCATAAGTCAACAACCACTTTCCCACCCCAGCCCATCTCCATGGTAAGGGGTCCGTCTCATCGATCAATCCTTTCTCCCCAAGCTCGACTTCTCCAACCTTTCCTTTTCCATTAAACTCCCCAAAAGCTTTTAGCAATCGATCGCGTTCGCGCTGTTCCTCTCCATCATGGACATGGTACAAGTGCTGCTGAACATTCCCACGCTGGACTATACGTTCAGTCCTCTGCCGTCTACACCGTTCATACACCTCAAGCGCTCTTTTCTTTTGTAATACATTCTTCCCCAAGACCTGAGCTAAACATAACCCTAACACATGTCCATCCTCCAGACTCATTCCGGCTCCACTCGCGAGGTACGGCAATGTAGCGTGCGCTGCATCTCCTAGAATTGTGAAAGCGCCAGATTCATGATTCCAAGAGGGATCCAGGCTAGGTCTGATGCACAGCCGCCATTTACAAACTGACTCACAAAGCGCCAGCAATTTCGGGATCCGTGGATCCCAATCCTTGTAAAGAGCGCGCATTTCTTCAACGTTCCCGGCGAGCGTTGTGGCGCCCGCAGGCATGTCGTCAGGGACAAGGAGAACCATGTTAAAGAGTTTGCCGCCACGCAACACGTAGTTCACTGCATTTTGTCAGCCTCGTACGGCAAGTGGGGCTCGAAGGCTATCGCGTAAAGAGAAATGAAAGAAGAAATTTCTGTGTACCCGCATGTGCATCGGGACCCATCCAGTAGTTGACCTGTGGATCCTCTACAAATCCACGCAGCTCAGGATCCTTCATCATGTCCTCGGTATTCAGCAGTAAGCGATACGCAAGATCCCCGGTCAATATGGGTGGGTCTTCTTTTCCAAGTAAAAGTTCTCGGCACTTGGAATGAATGCCATCCGCGCCAACGATTATATCAGCTTTTCGCCTTTCACCATCTGCAAGAACGGCTATGGCCGTGCATTGATCCAAGGAATATTCAATATCAACAACTCTCGCATTTTTCTCGACCGTCGCACCGAGTTCAACAGCCCTGTCTAGCAAGCACTGGTGAAGGTTCGCTCGGTGAAAATCCCAAAATGGTGTTCCGCACTCCGATTCATACTCATGGAAGTTCATTTCGGAAATGTGCTCGCCCTTCCACCCGATCATGTTGCATTGTTTTGGCCGTGTAGCATACTGAGATAGTTTGTCCTCCATCCCCCAAGCGATCAGCACGCGAGAGCTGTTGGGGAGGCACTGTATTCCGGCGCCGACTTCAGAGATCTGAGATGCGGATTCAAGGATGTGGACGTTGTGGCCAGCGAGAAGGATGGAGATTGCTGCACCGAGTCCTCCCAGGCCTGCCCCAACGATAATAACCTAAACGTCACGAGGTCAGCCTTGGGGGCCATCACCATAGGGTAGGGGTCAATAGTAATTTGTAATTAGGAATCCTACAGCTAGCTGGTCAACTGCATCTCTTGTAATCTTTTGCAAGACCCGCGGTCTTGTGGGTGTCATTGTGACAACAGGTCTGGAATTGGGCAGGCGGGGACAATATGAGGCGATGACCCGAAGGAATCGATACAGAAGTCCATTCAAGGTAGCGGAAGAGGAACCGCTTGAAAATCTACAAAAGTGATGTTTGAACTAAAATTGCCGTCATCTTAGCCCGGCGATACCCACGTATCCCCCAACGCACGCGACCAAGAAAGTAGCTAAGCCAAGTTACTAGGTTACCGACCTAGATTGTGTCCGGAAGGATTCCGTTCGCAGAAAAGTGGTGATCGGCATTTCTGAGGCCAAAAATGAAGAGTGGTGGTAAGTTCTACATTCAGTCTGTTCCAGATTCGAAAGAGTGGGGGTACAAGGTTGCGGGATGGGTGAGGGGTACGGAGGTCATAGCTCCCAAAGTTCTGTGTGGTGGGGGGGCTCATTCCGATAGTTCCGATAGTTCCTTTAGTTTCAAACTGGTGATTTGATTGCTCTTGTACATGTGCTCGCTTTATGGCAGTGCCGCAAAAGCTGCGCCGTATTCTCTACTGTCGACTGGAAGTTGCTCTGCTGTATGCTCAAGCCTTGCCCTCGACCTGCTTCTTCAAGATCTCGCCCGGTGGTGCTGGCATCATTGCGCCTACTGGGGGCTTGTTCCTACTCTTAAAATCGTCACACATCTGCTCCATCGTCACCCACTCTACCCCTTCATGTTTGTTAATGTGCTCGATGATCCTTAGAGTCTTCGTTAGCCTCAGGGTTTAAGCTCCTGGCGATAATACTGACCTCTCGTGCATGAGGAGGACATGTGGCCGGCCAGAGACGTCAGGATGGATTGTCATCGGAAAGATGAACTCGTCGTACTCCCGGTAGAAGTAGTCGAAGTGGTCTTTCCAAATATCCTCGACATCTCTCGGATTCACCCATCCATGACTATTTGGAGCTTTCTTCATAAACATCATGGGTGGCAAGTCATCGATGTACCAGCTCCCAGGGATTTCAACCAAACCAGTCTCCTGGCCCCTCACCAGCGGTTTCATCCAATCAGCAGCGTTCTTACTATAATCAATCTTGGTCCACTGGTCGCCAGTACGGAGCCAGTAACAGCGATGGTCCTCGTGCGACATGCTGTGGTCGTACTCGATGCCATAGCTGAGCAGCAGCTCACAGCCCTCTTGGGAGGTCTCCCACCACGGTGCAACGCTGCCCCGGGGCGGCTTACCACAGAATTTGGTGAGCATCTTGTAGGTTTTATCCAGCACATCGCGCTGCTGCTCGAAAGTCATGTCGACAGGATTCTCGTGGGAGTAGCCATGAAGACCGATTTCATGACCCGCGTCACGCACGGCAGCGCAGTCCTCAGGAAACGTCTCGAGTGAGTGGCCTGGAATGAACCACGTCGCCTTGATGTTGTACTTTCTGAAGAGTTTAAGCAGCCGCTGTGTGCCTACGGTTCCAGCCCAGAGGCCTGTTGTCACGCGCTAGTAAAATCGTATCATAGCTAGTAAGAAGTGACACAGGTAGCTCACCTCTGCTGATATCGCTCGTCGAATCCTCTCCTCCATACGAGCCCAGCCATCCAGCGACAGCGTCAATGTCCACTCCGTAGCTCACAAGCACGCGCTTCTTGCCCATGATCTCGCCTTGACTGAAGGTCGTGGCAGGAAATGCCGCAGGAAATCGTCCCGAAATGTGAAGACAAAGGGTTAGAAATTTTCTGAGGAGCAAACAGTTGCCCGCTTAAGGATTGCTGAGGCAATAACCCCGCTCTTAGCTTCGGAGATGGACGTCGTACAACGGAAACAAAACAACCAGCATGTCGAAGGTGGGGGTGATATCAACTCTCTTATCACGGGAGCGTGCATTAGCTCCCGCCCCTTCACTAGAGCGATATAGAACTTCTGGGATTCACGCTGTTGCACGAAGGAACACAGGAAAGACCACAAGGTCCTTGATCGAGAAGGGATTCAACACTAAGATTGAGCATTTATCCGCAATACGGCGGCATGCGAACGTTCACCAAGCATAGGGCATATGTGTCCTCAGAGGGTTGTACTAAGATATCGATATCTCCATGTAAAAAAAATCCAGTTTAGTGAATGGCAATGTGCAGCAATCATGGAAACTGCGTAATCTAGGAATCCCCGGGAACTTACGCTGATGCTTTGCAGGCCGCAAATCTTTATGGCGTTGGCGAAGCCCTTAGTAACATATCAATAATAAACTTTGGCGGTTCCAAGTACCTTCTCTTTCTCTAACTTTCTAGCAACAACCTGAACACGATGCGTACGCCAGCCATACTTTCAAGGTCAAAGAGACTCCAATTCCACTTGTCAAGCTCGTTCCTAGGCTTGTACGAGCCCATCGTAGCAGCCGACATATGATCAATCTCGATTGAGACTTCACCCGTCGGAAGGGCTAGAGCTGAGTAATCGACGAAATTGAAGATCTTCGTGTAACCGACCCATCGGCATTTACGATAGGGCACTGCTAGATGAAGCATCACAGGAGAAAGGAGTACGTCAATCGTGCTCCCCGAAGTCGGCGACACAGTGGAGTTCCATAAGTCCCGAAACCGTTTCTGCGCCGCAGGCTTTTGCTTGTTTAATTGCTAGTACGCGTAGACCGAGATTGGTTTCCCGCGATTAACGAGAGCCTCGACATGGGGGATGAAAGGCTCGCCTCTAGCTTCAACGTCGTGTCGGATGTCGTCTCCTCCATCCACAGTATAATATTGATCCTGAACTGAAGATAGGCTCGCGTGTGAAATTAGAAATTAGGGTAAGACGGGCGTGATACCATAATATTAATGCACTCCTCATGTAGACTGTCCGGGGAACAAGGGATAACTTCATGCCCTGCAGCCTGTAACTTGGACACGACGCTTGTCAAGACTCGCGCTACAGGCGGATGAGGTTTGACAACACCATCGTCATGCATAACGCCAATCACAAGAGGTCTTCTCTGAACGTCTCTGAACATATTATCTCGCCAAGGCGGTGGACATCATTTGGGGTCCAGATTCCATGGTGTTGCAGCAATGACCGCATTGGTGGCGGAGATGATGGAGCCTAGACTTCCTGCCATGGGCCCAACTACCGACGGCACATGTTCTTGGCCTTCCGTCGAGACTGTAACACCGTGTGATACGGGAGGCCTGTCGGTGCCATCAGCAGACAATAATACGGTTGTCGTGGACTCAGAATATCGGCAGGAAACATATAGGCTCCAGTGGCTTGGTTTAGGGTAGGTAAGTTCTGGAAAGGTTCATGGCTTACGCTCGGCTTCAGGCCAGAGAGGCCGAGCATGTGGGAAGGGATGCGGATACTTCCACCGATGTCTGTGCCCCATCCGACAACGGAACTACAAAGAAACAAAAGCGCACCCTCTCTGCTAGGAGAGCCGCCGGGTGTAGAGTCGGGATTCTTCGGGTGAATTGTTAAACCCCACATCGGGTTTTCCGTTTCGCACTACTTTGAGTAGTTTTGAGCTTAATGTGACGATAACGATAACTGAACGTCTCAGACGTCCGGAGGGAGCTGGAGACTTACCATGATACTTTGGGGAAGATTGGACTTGGCGATGATTACGGCTCCCATCTGTTTCAACAACGAAACCAAAACGGAATCCTGTGCAGCCGGCATGCAGGCACGTCCTACATATCCGAGCGTGCAGTCGTACCCCTGGATATCAGACTGGTCCTTCGGCGTCATGGGGATTCCATGTAGTGGCCCCACGAGTCGTCTATGCTCTTCGAAAATTCATCCAGTGCGCGGCTCGCTTGAGGGCATCGTCGAAAAGAATTTCGGTAAGGCTAGCGAATTATCAGTCGTGATCCGCCCCTTCGGTCAATCCGGGTAGCAAACACGCGCCAATTCGTCTAAGCTGGTCAGTTCACGCCTGGGGAAAGGCCGAGGAAGTTTCAGGCAAGAGTTACACGTTGATGAGCTTCGATTGCCCTGCAAAGTCATGGCGTGAGAATCAGGTCAGAAAGAATACATCTCGAAGCGACTCCGAGAGCTTGGGACCTGACGCCTTCCCGGCTGATATAGGCGGCGCAAAGCATCTCCGCGGTCATAGCGCTAGACAAGAGCATTAGGAGAATATCATCCACGTGGCCTACGGCTGTCAAGTCCCGAACAGCCTCATTGTGGTTCTCTCCATGAAGAGCGTTTGGCTCCCGAACTGTCGACTTGCAGAGGCTAGATTGCGACGGACTCATCAGCATCCACTATTACCTAGGTAGGAGGCATTACAGAGAACGGTGTGCAGACGTCAGTCTGAGAGTTGAGGTTGTCGGTGTGACTCTTTGGTGGCCTCGTTACGAAGCCGGCACTTGCTCTGGGCAATCTCGAGCCGGCTAGGGGCGCTCGTATTGGACATTTCACGATGGGTCGGATGGTGTTGAGGCGTGTGCAGCAGAAGGATTCAGGAGGACGTCACGCCTTTCAAGGGGAGATTTGTGGAAGGACTCCTGATCGGGAGAGGGCCGCAGATGCAAAAAGCTTCATGGATGGGAGCTAGAGCCGCACCAATGGTGTCCAGTACCGGGAGGTCTCGGGATGCCGCAGTTGGGAGAGCGAGGACCTGCAAAAACCTTGGAGCAAGCAGTGGGGGTGATGCAAGGGCGACCGGAGGCCGCCAAGACCGCCCAACCCCAGCACATCAGCATTTTCTTGAGAGGTGTGCGCAGGGTCCCCGGACGTTGTCACCCCATCAATTGCGATTTTTGAAAACATTTTCTTCCGCATTGTCCGCTGGGAGCCTCGAAGAGCCGTCATGGAGTGCCCAAGGGACGTAGAGGAAACAAAAGTGCGGTCCTGCCCGGACTTCCGTCACCCCCATTTTCGTCCCATCTCTTAGGTGCCACGCTTTTGCCAGCATGACCGCTTCGTTCTGGGACCTCATGAAGCGCTCCAGTGCCTCGCAAAAGCCGCCCTCGACGTCGTCGTCGTCGACCAAGATCCAGAAGATGGCGCCGGGCCTGAAGACAGACTCTGTGCGCTCCGGCAGCATCGATGTCATGTCCATGTCCACGACATCGTCGACCGTCTCTCACGAAGACGACTACCGAAATACTCTCAGCGATGTTGTGGTGGTGGGCGCGGGGCCCGCAGGGCTGATGCTCGCGTGAGTTCGCTCCTTCCCTTACGCCCCGAGGAGGGCAGTCGCGCTGACGAGAAGGGCAGGGACAATCTGGTGCGGTACGGCATCAAAACACGCATCATCGACGACCGGCCCGACAGAACTTCCACGGGACGCGCTGACGGAATCCAGCCCAAGACTATTGAGACCCTGCGCCAGATGCGCCTGGCCGAGCCGTTGCTGCGGAAGGGCGTGAGGATATACGACATTGCCTTCTGGAAGTCGACCCCCCACCAGTCGCTGCGTCGCACTGGCCGCGAGATCCACTACCCGCCTATTGTCGACCTGCTCGACCCCTACATCCTCCTCGTGCACCAGGGGATGGTGGAGCAGCTCTTCCACGACGACCTCAAGGAACGAGGGGTCGACGTGGAGCGGGCAACGGTGTTTGTCGATTTTGACTATACTCCCCAAAAGGTCAGGCCGCTGCAGATCACGTGCAAGCAGGCCGACCACACCAAGAGGACATATGGAACGCGCTACCTGGTTGGGTGTGACGGTGCGCATTCGCAAGTGCGCAAGTGCCTGCCAGACGCCCGGCCAGTGGGTGCTTCCTACGACGCCATTTGGGGCGTTTTGGATGGAGTGCTGGATACAGACTTTCCCGACATCTGGAGCAAGGTTATCGTGCACTCGGAGGAGCTTGGCTCGATCCTAATGATCCCCCGTGAGAGGAATCTGACGCGATTGTACATTGAACTGAAGCCGGATACAAAGGAGAGCACGGCCAGAGAACGGCTCACACAGGAGTTCGTCATGAAGCGCGCTCAGGAGATCATGAATCCGTACAGCCTTCAGTGGAGGAGTATTGGTGAGCCAGCACTTCTGTCGATCCGGAGAGTAGGTGGCTAACTCGGTGCAGAATGGTTCAGTCGCTATAAGATTGGACAGCGAGTAGCCAACAGATTTACGGATCACGATCGAAAGGTGTTCATTGCCGGAGATGTGAGTTACACTGCACATCTTTGTTGATCATCCTTAACTCTGTACAGGCTAGCCATACCCACTCGCCCAAAGCTGCCCAAGGAATGAACACTTCAATGCATGACGCCTGGAACCTCGCCTGGAAGCTCAACTTTGCTGTTCGCGGTCTCGCCAAGCCAGCCCTCCTCGCAACGTACGAGCTGGAGCGCAAGAAGATTGCAGAAGATCTAGTCAATTTCGATTTCGAGCACGCCAATGCCTTTGCGGCCGGCGACCCCGAGGCCCTGGCAGCGAACTTCGTGAAGCACCAGGCCTTCATCTCAGGGTATGGCGTCAACTACGACTACAACGTCTTGAACATTCCATCCAAAGGCCACGGCCTGGGACAGCTTAGACCAGGATACCTACTTCCTCCAGCCAAGGTCACGCGTTTCATCGACGCCAACCCTGTCGACATCCAGACCGACATTCCGGCACTAGGGCAGTTCCGCATTTATTTCTTTTGCCGCGACGTGCACGTTGCAAAGCCATTCTTAGATGCTGTGTGTAACATGCATCAGTCTATGTCATGCTATGTCGGACGAGTTACCCTAGCTGGAAACGCGTCATACACCATTCAGCCGCCATTAGCCGCACCACATGACGAGTTTGTGTGTCCGGAGCGGTACACCCCAGTGAGCGGTGTTTTCACGTATGCATTGGTCACGGATATGCCACGATATGAGATCGAGATTGAAGATCTTCCAGCGACTCTACGAGATTCGAGATGGACTTTCTACCTGGACGATTGCCCGGATAAAGATACCCGCAAGCAGAAATGTCTGGACAAGTGGCTAGATGGTTTGGACGAAGATGAAGTGGTCGTTCTCAATGTCAGGCCTGATGGATATGTCGGCACACTACGACGGTGGCCGAACGGGAGTAGAGAGAGTGGGTTGAGCGCGGTGAGGTGGATGGATGAGTATTATGAACAATTTCTATGCGATATATGACGGAGATGGGCGGTTGTTGTTTTCTTCTACATAGACCATTGCATGCGACTGGCGTTTTCGGTGTTGCTATGTCCACACTCAAAAGATGTAAGTACCTAATATAATTTGATCAATCTCAATATTAGATCAGCCATCATACTCTTCCAACAACTGCGCCCTACCCAGACAAGGGCATTCCAAATCTAAATTGCTTCAACGAAGACGCTAGATAAAATTTATGGTAAGTTTGCCGTGCAAGTTCCGAGATCCTTCCCCACTAGAATTTTGTCCCCATTTTCTTCGTCCCTTTCGCCTTGCCTAAATTTCACTTCCACTAACCATTCTCTTGGTGCTCCGCTCAAAGAACCCATGGTGCCGGGACAAATGCCCATCTCAACCGGAGCTAACCCTAGCCGATCGTGGGTGGTGCCACTTCCCCCACTTTGCTGCAGTTTTAACTTTACCATCTCACTACGGATCCGAACACCTATTTATCTATCACCGATAGTCCGGTTCGCATTTCCAACCTAGCTCGCGAGTCATGGAATAGGCTCCAGATCGATGGGTCAGCTTCCTTAGGAAAAGAAGAATTTTAAATGGGAGGATGTGTTGTCTCGATAATTCCCTGCCCCCAGAACTTTACTTTCAGAGCTGCAGTAGTGTAACATTTCAACCTTCATCACTCGTCGCAAGTTTCAGGAACTGCATCTGGGACGTCGAGTCTCCGCCTGACAGCCAATTGTGAAAAGGCTTTCTGGTCTGCTTTATAGCTATGACGTTCGAGTCCGAGAAAGGTTAAGAAGTCGGCTTTGCGACGGAGTACATCGACTATGCCGCGGAGAGATCTGATGGTATCCCTCCGACCGTCATTTCTCTCCATTTTCTACCGCATTGCTAACGACATACGATAGTCCGCAAATTCGACTTATCCCTCTCGCCGTTCCTCATGCTGATGTAATTATTCAAATCGGCGGACATAGTAATTTGGGCAATGCAAAAGCAGATGGAATGCCTAATGTTTCTGAATTTGCCATTTGCCGTTGGGTATGATGACGAAGAATTGTAGGAGGAAAGGTACGCTAGCGAAGCGTAATTATTCGATGAAACAGATGTAGAGAACTGCAACTGACGATTGATTCGCAGTGACGACCAGTTGGAGGGCGTGTGCACTCCAGTCCGCCACGAAGAACTTCGCTAGAATGTTGGCCATCCGACTTTGACTCGGGGTACTTGAAGCCGAATTCGTCGCCGGAATGGTGCTCGGTCTCAATCTCCTCTACATGCAAGGGGGACTTGGATTTCGGATTGCTGTCTTCTTCGGAAGCGCGCTTCTGGTAGCTGCTCCCAGAGGATTGAATCTCGTATGGAGTCTTGTGGATCAATTATCTACATACCCAAGGCAGGAAATGGCTTCTCATCGAAGGCAGAATGACTTCCATTATCTCCGTCATCCTCTATCTCTTTCGCCCAGCATCGGCTTTAACTGCATGGTTCCTCATTGAAGTGAGATAAATCGCGCCGTCTCAACGCACTCTCTACGACTCCCTGCCTTCTTCCCATTCCAACTTCAATCCAGGGAATATTTTCAGACCTGGAATAACCGGAAACTCCTACCCCGGTGCGCCATCAGCTACACCTTCTCGCCTACCTCCGACTTCCTCCCACGGATTGTGCCAGGGCATAAACACAGCGTCGTCAAGATGAATCTCTCGATCGTGGCTCCCAATGCCGTGGGAATAGAGCTAATCTCGTCACAGCAACATTGGAGCGCTTCCTCGGTGGCATTGATAACCAGGAGCTGCTTCGCAAACGCTGATAGTGATGCTAATATGAGAGACTTTGTCCCAGAGCTTTCCTCATTACTGTCTGATAAATTAGATTCTAGAACCGATCCCGGAGAACATGTGGCTGTGTTGGAAGCGCACACCGCCGAGAGAAACCACAACCCCAAACCGGAGGATGTAAGCCCCTACGCAAAAGCCACCTCAGGACATACAAATATTATTATGGATCTCCATCATATCAGAGACTTTAGACAAGTTTTCCTCTCGGAGACCCTCGGGAGACCTCGATAAACTGATGTTCTCGGATGATCAAGCGTTGCATCCAGCCCCAGTAAAAGAGCTAGTGCACAAGCACCCTGATGCCATTCTGGGAACGGAGGGATTCTTGTGCCTTCCAGGGGTTCTTTGGGATCCGGATGGGGTATCTCATAATTTTGTCGTGGTTAACAAACCATTCAGCCTCACGTGCAAAGGACTTGGTAGACCGCATTCGGCCGTGGCCGAAGAGAGAAACCGATCGAGAGAGCCCCCCTTAGGTCATGTGGACAATATTCTCCGATGAGGGAATTATTCAGCATGTGGAAACCTCCGTAACCTTCACGCATTCCTCATGATGCCAATATGACAGTAAGAGGCAGTCCCGACGCAGCCATATACGGGCACACTATAACGGGGACAGCAGCCAATACAGACCAGCAATATTTCTACTGGTAATTTAAATGTGCACGTCGATTCATGTCATATAACAGGAGGTAACAAAACCTCACCGCGCTCTTCGTTATTATAAGGATTGAGGACAGCGTGCCCAACAGTCCGTACTACTGTACGATTAGGAGATTTTGAGGCCTGTACGGACGAGATTGCCTGTACGTACGTACGGTCGTGAGGAGGAGAGGCAGCTGTACGGACAGTAACCGCACTGTTTAAAATAAGCTGTACAGGTAGTACTGTACAATTAATGTACATTATAACTATTAATACGCTATACTATAGAAGAGGTAGAGTTAAAGGCCTAATAGCTCCCTATAAGGCTATTTTCTTTAGTAACGTGAGCAGCTAGAGCTAGAAGCTTACTTCTTACTATTTAGTGTTTAATCTAGTGCTTTTGCAGCTATATAGCCTTAATTATTACACCTAATAAGTTGTTATAATTATTAGTTATAGTATAGCTAGCAGCACTAAAACACCTCTTACACTTATAGCTTATAGCTAGGATAGTAAGGAAATTAAAAGCAATTTTATAAAAAATAAAATAGCTTAATTTACCTCTAGTAAGCTACTACTATAGAGAATCTTTATGTAGTAATAAGTAATTCTTATAAAGATTAGGGTGTATAGTGTTATAGTAGAATTATAGCTTATTTAATAGCCTTTTACACTTATATAAGCGCTTATTTATTATAAGAGAGAGGTTAACAGCAAGGCAGTTTTTATAATTAATATTATAATAGTTACTACTAAGTAGTTTATAACGCTTTAAAAATAAAGCCTTAGCTTTATTTTTATTTTTATTTTTATTTTTATCTTTAGCATTTACATACTGTGTAAAGATTATCTTTATTAACTAAGTTACTTTATTAATTTAGGCCTTATAATAGCGCTAGTAGGTTTAAAACTATAGTAATTACAGCTAAAAATAAAGTATAGTTACTACTACATAATATAAGGCTAAAGGCTTAAGAATTAGCTTACTTTAGTAGGTTATAAGCTTCTAATAGCTAAACTAGACAGCACTTTTAAAGTAAAAAAAGCTAAGCTTATTAGTAAAAGTGTTACTTATCTAATTAAAGTAAATTTAAAGGCACTATAGCTTTATAATTATTTACTAAAGTAAGCTAAATAAGCTATTACCTTTAAGTTTTTTTATTATTTAATAAAACTTTTTTAAAAAGCTTATAAAGCGCTTAATCTTATCCTAATTATCTTTAGTTATAAGATCTAATAAGGTGTTAAATCTAGTATAGTAAGCTTTATTCTTAGTATTAAAAAAGCCTTTTTATTGCTTTTAGAAGTAGCTAATTACCTCTTTAAGCTTAAAGCAGCGTAGGAGCATAAAATATACTAAGTGCTAGTGTACTCTACTATTATGTACAAAATTAAGTGTACTAAACTCCTAAATAAGGTCCTCTTTAGCTAGGTCTTTTTATATAGTGTTAAAAAGCCTTATGTGCTTATGTAAGGCTAAGATGCTGTTTATAAGATTATAAAGACACTTAATAATACTGCGCTTTTTATATAGCTTAAATTAATTATAAAGAGTAGCTCTAGTAAGCTTCTGCTTAAATTTAGTAACACCTTTACTATATATAATAGCCTTTATAACTACCTAAATAGTGTGGCTAGCGCAGCAGATTTAGTGCTGCCTGTTAAGCTTATATAGTAGATTTAGGTAATTATTAAAGCTTTAAATAAGCTTATTATTATTATTTAACATATTATCTCTAATAAAGTAACTAAATTTTAACATAATATTATATTTAATAATAGTAGTAGCTACTTTAAAAGCTTACACACTTTTAGTATAGTTACTATAAAGGTTTTTAAATTTAATAAAAAGATTTTATTATTTATATAAAGCATTTAGCAGAGTTAGTGTTGTAGAAAAGTAGTAATAGTAGCCTATGCATACTTACTAATAAAATAAGCTACTACTGTAAGAAACAAAAAGTAATTTTTACTACTTTATATATCTACACTTAACATAATTTTTAATAATGCTAAATTTAGTACTATTAAAATCTCTTACTTCTACTATATAAATACATTCTAAATATTAGTAGAAAGTGTAGTGTATAATTATAAAAAAGTAGTAAAAAGATTTATGTAATTCTAGCTAATAAAGCCTTAAGTTTTTATAAAAATAGTGTTTTTAAATAATTAATCCTGCACTATAACCTAATCTACTAGGGCACTGCGCAGAGGGCCTTCCTGCTAAGGTATATAAGATAGCCTGTGTAACAAGCCTACTACTCCTACTTTAGCTGCCTTTTATAAGTGCTAAGAAGCTTAAGAGCTATTAAGTAAAAGCTTTTTATTAATATTAACTTTATACTTTTTTTATAAATGCTTTACTATATAGTTATAACTATTAACTACTTTTACAGCGCCTTTATAATGTTGCTTATAGCACTAATAGTAGAGCTAAAGGTGTATAACTTTACTTTACTTCTTATATAGCATTAAATCTGCTTTATAAAGCTACACTTTTAAGACTTTATAGTTACTTTTTATTATTTTTTTATTTTTTACCTAGTAACTTAATTACATAGCTAGTAGAGCCTCTTTTAAATCTAATAGCTATATATTACTTTAGTTAATCTTAAACTTAGTGCTAGTATTATAATTACACTTTTCTAAGTACTTTTTTAATTACTTATTACTAGTAAGTAGTGTAGCCTTATAAAATAAGCTAGTAAAAGTATTATAAATTACTTTTAATTTTTTAAGCCTTTAAGACTTTATAAAGTGTATAACAGCAACACTAGATTAACTTAATAAGGCCTATAAAGCTATAAAGCGTGTAGATAAGTAATTTTATAATAAAAAGTAGTTAGTAATAAGCATTATTCTAATTTTAATAAGCTATACTATTTAGATAAGTAGACAAAGTCTCCTTTAAGCAGCTAAATTAGTGTTACACATAAGATTTTCTACTAATTAGCCCTTTATAGCAGCTTCTCTAGCAAGGGCTTTTTAAAACACTAAATTAAGCCTTACAAGCTATTCTAAAATGCTAACTGTACACTGTACTACAGACAGTACTTAGGGCAACAGCTATTGTACGCACTAACAGAAGATTGCTGTACGTTCGTACAGTCTAAATCAACCGTACACCGTACTCAGTACTGTCAGTAGTACGGCCTATTGGGCACGCTGATTGAGGAAGTGACTGCAGTACCAGGAGGAAATCTGTGCGGGCCACTTTATGAGTTGTGCGCTGCTGCCAAGGCTGGGACAACAAATATTACGTTCAATATCCAATTTTCAGATATTCCATTCAAGCGAAAAGCATTGATGCGGGTAATGGGCTCGGTTCGAGAGCTCTTCACCGCCGCTATGACTATGGATGGAAACGAAACCAATGTCTAGGGACTCCAAGTAGCCAAGATGAACCATCGCTAGAGACATAAAGTTTTGAACCTCTCGGGGCGAAAATAATAGATACCACCCACGTCCTAAGCCCCCGAGAAGCACCGCCCAATGAGGGCGACGAACTCCGACTTAAATCATCGCTTGAGGGTGATGCTTCGCAACCCTTTCAGGGCAATATCACCAGTATTCCATCTATTTCTATCAAATTTGCAAGTAGTGTTCCACATCCTGAAATTTCTCAAGGGATTCAATGACTATCAACCAGTACTACCCCTCCTATGCAATTGCACCCATCGCGGGCACGGTTGGCGTCCTTGGGCGGTAGGAAGTGTACGCATGGGTCAGCCGTTTTTATAATCAATGCGAAAGCCAAAAAAAAATAAGACTATTTGTGACGAGATCTGCCTACTACCATTGGAGTTCAGAGTCAAACGAAGAGGCGGTCTTCCACACTTGGTCATCAGATGAGGAAAATAAGGAGGCTGCAAAAATCAATGCGCATCTCCAGTGTACGAAATGAAGAGGGCATATCTACATAACCGGCGCAGAACCCTAGGAAAGGTGGCCAAGGGTGTACGCTCACCCAGCCAGCGTAGGACACCCCTGAATCCTCAGAATATGCTCTCTTCCTTCCAAATGCAGCACAATACGATCTGCTGACATACCTCCAAGACAGTATCAAATACAAATGCGTTAAATTTAGCGAAAAGGAATTTCTCTCAACGTCATGGACACGAAGTCCTTGTATTGCGTGGGGTAAGTAAGCAGAATTCAATGCCCGGGCTGTGCCCATTTCAACTGGATGAAGGACTTGGCCTTTCGCACGCCCGGCCCCTTCTGGATTGCTGAGAGAGAAATTGAAATTAAGCGCACTCCGAGTATTACTGCAAAGCCCGAAATGGGGAAAGACAAGTCCGAGAAGAACAATACTATTTTAGTAGTTATTAAGGGCGTGGGTGAAGCGGCGTAGCCAGTGTGTCCAACCGTTAGTTACGGAGCCTTTTGGAGGTTGTATAGTACAGTTACGGAAGAGTCGGCTGTTACTAACTAACTGTACGGGAGAGATGACGTTGGTGTACGGTTCGGATACAGTAACTGAAGTATTATGAAGTAATTGCGCTAAAGCTAAAGACTATACCTAATTAGGAAGTTATAATACCCCTTATAAGATCTACAGTTGTTAATCTTACTAGTAACAGCAATGTTATGTAACTAATTCCTCTATTATTAACGCTAATAGTTAATTCCTCCTTATTATAATAGTCTTCTTAGCCTATAAGAAGCACTGCTCGCACTCACATAAAGTTGCTAGGATTAATAGGAAATTAAGGGCAATGTTAATCTTAAAGGCAATTCTGACGTTATAGCGGGCATTATTTAGGTGCTCCTTAGCCCGGGTATCTTGCATATGCTTTAAAGGAGTTGCTTCACGCGAGGACGGCCTAGATGGGCCAGGTGAGGCCATGCGGGCCTTCTCTAAGCGTCGGGATGAGGCAGCATGATATATCTGGGTGGCAGAACGGCTGGATGAGGCATGTGAGGATGAGGC